TGTGTATGTGTATATAGAGAGATATCTACATACGTGAGTGCCTACTCATGTGCCATCACACCATCATACACCTCCGTTCATGTATATACATATATATATATATATATATATACATATATATAAATAAATATATAAATGTACATGTAGCACGGAGGCTCAGACAGGACACGCATTCCCGGCACCGAACTCTCAGCTTGTGTACTTTCTCATATCTTGCAGTGTTTCTCATATCTTGCAGTGTCTCTCATATCTTGCAGTGTTTCTTGCAGTGCTCCTCATTTCTTCGGTTGGGATGGCTTCGGAGGAATCTCGTAAGCGATTGACGGCCAGGGCCTCGGTCATGGAGGCCAAGCTGCTCAAGACCAGCAAGTTCGAATATGTCCAAACCTTCATGGGCAGAGTCCGGTCGTCCATCGCGGAAGGCACTTTGAATGAAGATGCCATGGACGCCCTCCGGAAGGGCAAGAATCACCAGTCTCCACAGCAGGTCCTCTGGAAAGGCTTGGATCTCGACATGGAAGACGAGGCCGACGGTGAATTCTGGCAGGATCAATCCGCTGAGTTCTCTCAGTTCGACAGCCGGCTGAAAGCGGCGGAGAAGCGCCTCGACTTCCATGACCAGCTCCACACTGAAGCAGAGAAAGAGAAGAGGATTGGACACTTGTCCATTCGCCGGAAGGGCCCCATGGACATCCCCACGTTCCATTCTGAGGTGAAAAAGTTTCAAGCAGCAGTTGACCACTCCAAGGACATCCGGAAGTTGGTGTCCCGGCAGGTTGTCATGAGGGACGAGGTTCTGGTCGAGGCTTGGAACAGCAACACAAAGGGAGAGTTAAAGTCGGCTCTCATTGATCTCGTCTGGGAGAAATCCTTCAAGCTCCTGGTGCTGAATTGCATTGGCGAGTCCGCGAAGCACCTCGGAATGCCTGCCCGGGTCTTCCACAGCTCTCTTTACCAAATGGCAGAGGCAGATTCCGATGCCCTCGGGCGCCCGCAGCACATCCGGCACAGCTTCCAGGGCTTCGATGCGTCTGAGTATGAGTGGGACGTGAGGGCCGCTGCTGAGAAGGACGCAGAGGACGACGTGGTGATCGCGCGGGGCTCCGTGGAGCGCCAGGGGGACGACAGCAAGCGCATGACCATCCTGATCGCCGAGAGCATCCCCTTCACGAAGGGGGCCGCCAAGGGCAGCGACCTCCTACCGCTCTTCAAAGACAGCATGCACAACAAAGTCGTGCTCCCATTCGAGATTGTGACCAAGATCGTCGACAGCACAGCCTGCTGACGAGAGTCCCCAAGAGGGGCCGCCCCAGCAGGGCGCCCGCCGCCGCCGCAGCCTCTGCCGGCGCTGCTGCCTCCGGAGGCGGCAAGAAGGACAAGGACAAGGAGAAGCCAAAGACCAAGAAGAAGGCCAAGAAGGACACCTAGGGGTCGCAGGCCGGAGACAGGGGCACTCACGATCCAGCAGTTCGGCAGGCTAGGCCGGAAACAGCTCGGAACATCCTCTCCCCCCCTCCCTCGGACCCCCCCCCGCCTCGCTGCCCAGGAGCAGGGCCCCAGACCAGCGAAGGCAGGAGTTGTTCGTAACGTCGTTCTCCGAACCTCTCGACTCCGTCCCCGGCGCCCTCTCGGGCCCCCGGTTCGTTTCCGGGGGTTCACTGAGACCCTTCGCGGAGGTCACGGTTGGCGAACCACTGCGGGCACCTCCTCCTCCCCACTCTGGCTCAAGTTCTCAGGCTCAAGCACGGACCCCCACGTTGGGGAAGTCTACACCACTGCATCGTCACCTCAATATGAGTTTCAACACTGCTTTTCCGCAGGTGGCCCGTCGTGGACAGGGGGCTCCTGGACACGGCGGGGCCAGCTCGGGCCTGACGCCCCCGTCTTCCCGGCCATGGGCTGTGGCAGGGATGCAAGATGGGGCAGGGTGCTACCGGCGGGCCTGCCGGGCCCCTGCAGCGTCGGACCAGTCCGTCCTGCAATATAGTCGCACACTGCTGCTGAGGCACCGCTGCGCCGTCAGTGGCCGCGCGGGTCAGCCGCGGGTGACCCCCAACCCAGCGGAGACCGAAAGAGCCTCGACCGGAGGTTTTCGGTACACCCCACCGCTTGCGAAACACAAATCGAGGCCTACGTAAGCCCACATCGATCGCCAGGCGCCAGAAGCAACGCTCCTTGCGTCGAGCGGCATGCCGTCGCTTACGGAGGCCAGAGAATTCCTCCACTCGGCCCGCCCAGCGGGCTCAGGAAGGTCGTCGTTCCCTTCCTCCCAAGCTACCGCAGCGCACCCAACTTACGGTCAGTGCTTTCAACCCCCAAGGCATTCAAAAGCTAGGCAAACGCGAAGCTATCGACAATTGGATGCGCCGTAGGAACGTTGACATTGTCTTTCTCCCAGAATCGCACGCCTCCCACAACAGTAGAGAAGTCCGCAAGGACACACTATGGTACCTGGACCACAGCTCCACGGAGCAGCCGTCAGGCCCACAAAGGCACGGCATTTCTGTAGTTCTGCACAAACGTCTTGCGAATAATATCTTAGACATACAACCCGTATCAGAGCGCGTCATACTTGTCAAACTTCGGTGTCCGGGCCGCCCGTTGGCCTTCATAGGCCTCTACGCGCCCACGGCCGACGCGAGCCAGGAAAGTAAAAACGCTTTCTGGTCACTTGTCCAACAAACCTACAAGCCCGTGAAGCACAGCTGCATTACATACTTCTTCGGCGACTTGAATGCACGGGTGCAAATCAACTCAGGAGACGATCCGGCGGTGGTTGGCTGGCACACTTTCGACCGAGAACACACCTCTCTCGAGTCGCAGACCCCGGAGGTCAGCGACAACCGAGAGCGTCTCTTAGACTTCTGCGGACAGCACCGCCTCCAGCTCAGCAACACATTCTTCTCGAAACCACAGCGGAAGTTGCGCGCGTACCTCCAACACAAAGACCAGGAGGTTGAGCCGCCATGGCACCGACCCAAATATGAGACGCTCGATTATGTCATCACACCCCAGCGTTGGAAAAACAATATCCTAAATTGTGAAGCCGACCCCCTGTCGGGCTTGGAATCCGACCACTTCCCGTTGGTGAGTGCCATCCGTGTCAGACTCAAGGCAATGAGACGCACCTCGCTCAAGCCGCCGTCGCAGTGGCAAGCGCCGGATCGCGAGGCCCGACGAGCATACAATCGGAAGCTCACGGATCTGGACCACCGACCAAACGCTACGGAATACAGGGACCGAATGCTCGCATCCGCACAGGAGCATATCCAGGAGGAGAGAATCGCCCGCAAGGGTTTCAGTATCTCCCTTGCACTGGACCGGAAATTCGTGGAGCGCGCCGAAGCCAAGCGCACTGGCGACCACGCTAAGTACAAAATGCTGTGCAAGGAAACTCACAAAGACATCAAGCTTGCCAAAAAGCAACACATCAGATACACTTTATCCGAAACACTCGACATAAGGGAGAGGTGGTTGGGTATCCGACAGCTGAAAACTGGGTATCAACCGATGCCATACCATACTAAAGTCGATGGCAAGCCCGTCCCAGTTCACTTGCGGGCGGAGGCTGCGGCCGCCCATCTGGCAACCAAGCAATGGAGGAAACCGGACAGGTACCGCCCCAAATTTGAATCCTCCCAGCTCGTCGATAGCACCCTGCCAGTCGAAACAGGCCCCATCACGTTGCCAGAGCTAAAATCGCTTCTCAAAAAATGGAAACGACGCAAGGCGCCCGGTCCAGACGGTTTGTCCATGGATCTCATCCGCGAACTCGATAACGAAAACCTCCAAAGCGTCCTAGACTTTCTGAATCAATGGTGGTCAGATGAGTTCGTACCGGACGACATGTTGGCGGCCAGGGTGGTGCTCCTGTTCAAGAACAAGGGCAGCGCTGCCAACCTCGACAACTACCGCCCCATCTCCCTGCTGAGCTCGTTCTATAAACTCATTGCGGGTGTCCTCAAAGACCGTATCGCCAAGAAGATTGACCACCTCCTACAACCGACGCAATTTGGTTTTCGGGCACGGCGCAGCACGTCCCAAGCCTTGAAGATCGTCAGACAGATGGTTCACCAAGGCGCCAGCACCCGAAATTATAAGCAGGGACCTCCGCTTTATCTGCTGTTCCTCGATTGGGAAAAGGCGTTCGGCCGCGTCACGCACGAAGCCCTTTTCAGCGCTCTGGAGCGCATGCAGCTGCCGGACAAAATCGTTAACGTTGTGAAAGCCTTGTACAGGAACCCCACTTTCCAGGTAGGCATGGACAACTACGAGTCAAAATGGCACCGCCAGGACGCTGGGATCCGCCAGGGTTGCCCTCTCTCACCGTATCTCTTTCTGATCGTTATGCATGTGCTGTTCCAGGACATCTACAGCAAGCACAGCACGTCGCTTTCGGAAGGGCGCCCGCCTGGAGTTACATTCGATGCAGTACTGTTCGCTGACGACACGATGTGCGTTTCTACCAAAAAATCTCAAATCACCCGCCTGCTGCACGCCATTGAAAAAGAAAGCGCACGTTTCGGGCTTAACCTAAACAAAACAAAATGTGAACTCATGGTCATTGGACAGCCAAGTCGAATAAAATACCGGGATGGCACACATGTTCCGTCCGCGGAGATTGTAAAGTATTTGGGCTGTTCCCTTGACAGCAAAAACGACGTCGGTAAAGAGATCAGCGCACGCATCCGCAACTGCTACCAAACGATGCAACGACTGGATGCATTCTGGCTGCACAGCGATTGCTCGGTCTCGCAAACAAATACAAGTATTCAGCGCCGTATGCAGATCGAAGTTGTTGTACGGCCTAGAAACCACTCAACTGACCCCCGGGCAGACACAGCGGCTCGACGGCTTTCAATTGAAAGGCCTACGTTCGGCCAAATGGCCCGGGGCCAGGACCGCACGAACACGAACGAGTACATCTACAGCCAAACCCAAAATGCCCTCAATAGTAGGAGACCTCATAGGGCCCTCGAACGCTTCAGCGCCACGTACGAAAAAACTCAAGCTTGATCTGCTTTGCCGCCTGATCTCAGCCCCCGCGACGGACCCAGTCGCCTCCTGCACTTTCGACCCACATACGCTCAAGCCTTGGGACTATGGTCCCAAACGCGTCGGGAGACCAAGGAAGGCAGGCGAGTGGTACGAGCATGCCGCAGACACCCTCTGGCGGACTTCGGTCGTGCCGCCCCGGCCATGGCTCGAAGACACAGCGCTCGATCTCACATTGGCCTCTCATTGACTTCTCCTACGAGTCACGGCGTGGCAAAGGATGAAGAAACTCCACCCCTTGTTATATCGAGAGCGCTTTCCCCCACCGCCCGCTCCCCCAGCAGGGACATATGGGGTGGGGCTGCGCCTCGGCGACAGATGGATCTACGCAGGTTGACCACACTGCTCCCTCCGTTTTGCGACTGCGACCGCCTACGAGAAAAGAGAAAAATTCTGGTCCGCCCTGCCTGGACGGCCCTTGCCCCCTCCCTCCCTCGTTGCCGCCTTGGGTCCGCCCCGTTCCCCCCCCCCTTCCCTTCTCCCTCCCCCCCCTTTCCTCTCCTCCCCCTCCCTCCCTCCCCCCTTCCCTTCCCCCTTCCCTCCCTCCTCCCCCTTTCCCTCCCCCTTCTCTCCCCCCCTCCCTCCCCCCTCTCCCCCCCCCTGGGGGGGGAGCGGATGTTCCATAGGTGACCGTTGGATGATCCCGGCCAGAAGCCCTGGCCGCACGCTGCTAGCATAAATCGATATCCCGGCCGCAGCAATGACGACCGGCTACAGGAGGCCTCGCCTCCCGGCTGCCCGTGTATAGAAGTAGGTCCGGAGTTCCTCCTCGGACTGGGTTCGCGGCAGCCGAGCCACGAGCAAAAACAAATGTATATGTGTGTGCGTGTATACGTAAGTGTGCATACATATGAGATGTATGTGTATAGATGTGTTTGTATATATACACTATATGTGTGCAACTATGTATAGCTTTATCTGATTAGCCAGGTATGCACACATCGGTAACTGCTCATATCAATATGTATATATATACACATGTATATACACAGTTCTATAGATTTATAGATCTACACATATACCTATATGTATATAGATCGAGTCCTCTTCCTGTATTTTTATCAGCCCAGGCGGGGGGACCCCCTCCCCCCAAAAAAACTGGAGTCCCGGGATCTGGGGTTTTGGGACCCACTGGACGGGCCTCGAAGAGGCCCCCGGGCCTCGCAGGGCGTTTTGCCAAGCCTTCCCAGCACACCGAGGGCGATCAGGGGGGTCATCGGAGAAGTCCCAGAGACACTTAAGACAGCACAAGAGCGCTCCACGAGTGACCGACGTGACCTCAAGATAGCCCAAGAGGCCTCCTCCGTAGCCATTTTGGCTCAAGGCTCCAGTGCCACTCGCGTGCCAGGCCCGACCCTGTTCTGCCCGTTCTCACAGGGATGATTCACGCCAGCGGCGCCAGCTTTGGCAGCGGCGGCGTGGGCACGGGCTATCGCGGCGCGTATGGCGCCGACGCGGGCTGCTGTGGCAGTGGCGCAGGTTACGGCGGCGCGTACGGCGGCGACGCGGGCTGCTGCGGCGGTTCGGCTGATTACAGCTACGGCGGCGTTGGTGGCTTCGGCATTGCGGGTGGCTGCCCACCCCAGACCCAAACCTACGTGGGGCCAGCTGGCGACTACGTGCAGGAGACAACGTACAGGTATGTTGGCATGGGGGCGAGCGGCCCGGAGGTACGGTCGGAGACGGTCAGCTCGAGCATATTGCCCCTACACCGCCGTGGCCCCAACTGCCTCTGCTTATGCGTTATCCCCTTTCTGCTGTCGCTGCTGTTGCTCCCGCTGCTCGGCTGGTTCCTGATGGGCTCAACCAGCACAACGACGACGACCACTACGGTTCCCATCACTACCCCACCACCGCTGCTGGCAATGACGCCTCCGCCTGATGTTCCCACGACGACCAAGAGAACGACCACCACCCAGGCGCCTCCGCCCCCACCCCCGCCCCCCCCGCCGCCGCCTCCGCCCCCCCCGCCTCCCCCGCCCCCACCGCCACCGCCAGTGACGACCACGGAGAAAAAGGTCGACTGCGCGGAGGGTGACCCGCCGTCTTGGGAGGTGTCCAAGAGGGTCACTTGCTGCTTGCAGGCAGGCAGAGGGTGCCCGACGACGCCGCCGCCGCCCCCGCCACCGCTCCCCCCGCCTAGGCCCGTGGCTCCGCCCCCACCACCTCCGCCGCCGCCTCCGCCAGCTCCTGTGGCGCCCCCACCGCCGCCGCCGGCTTCCGTGGCGCCGCCCCCGCCGCCGCCCGCTCCGGTAGCGCCGTCCGAGCCGTACGACTGTGGCGCCGGCTACTCGAATTGGGAAGCGGGATGGTCTGCGGACAAGAAAGGCTGGTGCTGCTCCAACAAGCAAGTGGGCTGCGTGGCGCCGCCGTCTAAGCCATACGACTGCGAGGCTGGGTATTCGAATTGGCAGGCGGGATGGTCCGAAGACAAGAAGACGTGGTGTTGCCGCAACGAGCAAAAGGGATGCCCGGAGACCGCGTCCGAGCCGTATGATTGCAACGCTGGGTACTCGAATTGGAAAGCTGGCTGGTCCCCGGACAAAAAGGTGTGGTGTTGTTCGAGCAAGTTGATGGGTTGCCCAGAAGTTTCATCCAAACCTTTTGATTGTGACGCAGGGTATTCCAACTGGGAGGCTGGATGGAGCGAAGACAAGAAGGGGTGGTGTTGCACCAACGAGAAGAAGGGGTGCCGGCGGTGAGCTGGCATGAGCATCGAGGAAGAGCAGCATAAAGTTTCGGGGATTGTCGAGAAATATGTTTATGCAATTCATTATTCCTCTAAGCAGGTTCTTTGCGCAGTACAGTGTGCAAGCCGTGCGGGAAGCGAACTGTGTCCATCGTGCCGCCACCTTTTTACGCGCAAAGCGCGAAGGAACGCGCGGGCGATGCTTTCTGTTGGCTCGTATCCATTGGAGGACAGACATGGGGGGCGTAGTAGTCCAAGCTTCCATCGGCATGGGCCTCGGAGGGGTGGACCCTCTCTCGAGGCATGCGCCACCCCTCGGCAGGCAAAGGCACTTCGAGGTATAGGGGCGTGCCGGAGTCGCGGGAGCGGAACGGGAGCGACAAGAAAAAAAAAAGATAGCCCAAGAGGCCTCCAGGACGGCCCCAAAGGCTTCAAAAAGCTTCCAAGAGCACTCCCAAGAAGGCCCCAAGAAGCAACAATCATTGATTTTCTGCGGTTTTTTGGTGAATTGTGGGGTTCTCCTCTTTTCGGCTTCCCGACGCTCCAATACGGCAGTCTTCTGGGCGTCCGAGGCCGCTTGGGAGCCTCCAAAATCGCCCCACAACCATCCGAAAGGGCTTCCAGGCAGTCCAAGGGAGCCCCAGAACGGCACAACAGGGCTCACAGATGGCCCTAAGAGAGCCCCATGGCGGCCCAAGACGGCTCCAAGACACCCTCCGAAGCATTCCAAATCGTGACCGGGTCGTTCAGGGAGACCGCGGTTGGAGGCAGGGTGGCCCGAAGAAGCCCCCAGAGCCTCCAGAACACGCCCAGGAGGCCTAGGACGAGAACGAGACGAGAACGAGAACACGCCCAGGAGGCCAGAACACGCCCCAGAGCCTCCGGAAAATGCGCAGTGTATGGCGAGAGCGAGGAAAATAAGCATGGAGGAATGATAACGGATAACACCATTTTAGCGGCGATGCTGGAAAAGGCAACAAGGAGTTATCGCTAAATTGTCGGCTTGACCTTCCTGCCATTCCGCCTGCACACCCAACTTCAAGGACTAAGGCGCATGGCGCGAGGTGCCGCTGCAGTCTTGTATACATATTGTTATATACACGTATATGTGTTTATCTACTCTGGATCGCTTAATAATCGCCCCCCACCCCTTGGAGTGCCCGGGGGGGGGGGTGGCCGCGGCGCGTCCGCCAGGGTACCAGGGGGGGTCTGGGGTTCGATCCCTTCCCCGCTGGGGCGCGACGGTGGTGCCGGGGGGGGGGGGTTGGCCGCGCCGCGTTTTCACGTTTGTCCCCCACCGGTTGATTAATTAGACATTCGGAGTATCTACCTATCTATCTGTCTATACTGTTTCTCTTTGTCGCTGTTCCTCCTCTCGGCCCTGGAGGCCACCGCGCCGCCCGCGGCCAAGCCCGCCCCCGCGGCGCCGGCATCGGAGACGGCGGGGGGACTCGCGCTGCGCCCGCTGCTCGTCATCCCCCTCCCTCGTATCCCGCCGCCCCCGGAGAGATCGGGGGGATCGGGGCAACCGTATGCGGGGACAGGCTCAGGGGAGACGGACGACACCCGATCGCCCACTGATCGCCGATAGGGGTCCGACAGCCCACCCCGCCCAGGAGAGCTCGGATTTGCGATCTGTCGGCGACGTGTCGCCTGTTCCAGCTCGACGCTTCCCCCCCTGTGCCGGTACCCCCTTATCGTCGGTGCTTTTGAGAGCATGGGGACGGGGGGAGGGGACGAAATGCACCCCCACCTTCAGCAGTGGGCCCGAGTGTCTGGGGGGACCTGGAGGTCCCTGCCGGCGCCAAAAGCTTCCATGGGAGGCTCCCAGCCTCAGCAAGAGGGGCGGCGAGTGACCTCTGGCGCGCAGGCACCCTTGCCTGCGGCAGGCGGCGGCGACCGCACCGCGGGAGCGGTTGAGGTTGAAACGCTCGGCCTCGCGCAGGGGCAGGGGGAGGGGGGAAGGCTTTTTGGAAGCACCAATGCTTCTTAGAAGGCGCGGGCCCTACATCTATAGATGTAGGGCCGGCGCCTTCCAAGATGCAGCCTCCTTCTAATAAGGCTCCCCCCCCCCCCTCGCCCCACCCCCTTCTGTGCGCCACCAAAACGCCGCCAGCGGCCGGTCCAACGTTGAACGATCTGCGCTTGCGCATAGCCGCGATCGTTCAAGGATGCGCGGTCCGCGCGGTGTCAGGAGCCAGCGCCAAGAGTGGCCGCGACCCGAGCTTGCTTGCAGGGTCACTCCTTGCGCGCGCAGCCGAGCGTCGGGCGGGCGAGGCCCCGCGGGCGCAGCCGAGCGCCCTTTTGGTCGTTGCGCAGTGTGGGGGGTGTGGTGGCGGGGGGGTGGGGCGGGGGGCGATGCGTGGGGAGGCAGCGAGGGCTGAAGCAACGGGGTCCACAAAGGGCCCCTCGCGGCCCCAATGGGGGCCTTCAGGGCCCGAGAAGTGCACCTTTACCCCCACCCCGCACACCATTGTGGGGCGTTCCAACACGGGCCTTGCCTTCGAGGGTCGAAGGAGTTGTCATCTCTTCCGCGGCGGAAGGTCGGCGGAAGGCGGCGGCAAAACGAGGCCGCTTCCGCCGGCGGAGGCCGGCGGAAGGGCGGCGGAAGATGCGGAAGTGAAAGGTGCGCCCTCAGGAGATGGAGACGTGTTTGGGTTCAGGGCGTCCGAGATCCACCATGCATCGCCCTCCCTTCAAGCGACGCCCAACTCTGCAGGGCGGCGCGGCGGACGTGCGGGGCAGGCCCGGGGCACGGGGCCCCGCCGGCGGGGCCGCCGGCGCCGCCGCGGGAGCAGAGGGCGCCGCGGGCGCCTCGAAGAAGATGGCCGAGGCGGGGACGATCGGGACGATGGAAATGTGGACGGAGAGAATGGGTACGGTGCCTCCCTGGGAGGCGAGATTCGTCCGATTGTGTTTCGATATTGTTCTGGGTGCTCGAAAATTTGCGGCCCGTAAGTCGGATGGGAAACAACGTAAGGCCAACAGCACTTCTGGTTCATTTTGAGCAGGACTCGCTGTCCGCGCCGACGAGGTCGTTGTTCAGTGAAGGCAAGAAGCCGCCTGCCCAATCCCGGCCGCTGTCAGTTTTGGACAACATGTGTTGTTGGGCATTGCGCCCGTTCGGTCGTCCATTTCGGTCGTCCATCGTTGGGCACTGGACGACATGGTTCCCCGTACCCGACCAAAGACGAGAAGTTAGGGCGTCGATCCAGCGATCCGACGCCCCACCAAAACTTTGAGCGGGCGTTTCTTGGGCTGTGTTCGGCCTCCCGGGGCCCTCGCCGGGCCTCGTGGCCGGCAAGCAACGACTCAGGACGACGAGCCAGCCCTAGGGACGTGGTCCCGACCTCCAGGGCCCATGCATCGAAAGCATGGAAGCAGCTGGATGTCCGGGACGACGCGAGCGATACAAGAAAACCGGGCCAACTGCGCCGACGCGTGCGCGCAAGCTGCCCGCGTAAGGTCGCGCGCGAGCGCCCTCGTCTCCAGTGTAGTGTGCCGCGCTGGCGACCCGCGTGAGCCGCCGCGCAAGGTTGCTACGCCATCTTCTACGTTGCATCCTCGGGGGACCTCGCCAGTTCCCAAAATTGGTGTCGTTTCTGGTGCCCGACGCGGGCTCGATGTGGAATCGACGCGGATATGGCGTGGATTCGACGCGGAGTCGACACGGATTCGACACGGAGCCGACGAGTCCGACATGGATCCGACACGGATTCGACGCGGATAGGGTCGCGACGTGACGGGACAGACCAGGCCCCTTGAGGATGCAGCATCACATCTTGCGCAACATGTTTTTGTCTCCGTCGTTCGCGTGGTGTCTGTTCGATCTCGGTTCGCCCTTTCCGCGGCCTCGGCTTTCAGAGAGGGGGGCCCGTTGTCGGGCCCCCGGGGCCAGCAGGGAAGAATCTGGGGCGGAAGTATGGCCCCTGGGTTTCTGATGTTCCAACCTGCTTTAGCCTTGGTCACCAGAGTGAATGTCGGGCACCAAGAAAAACACCCCAAAACTTGAATGTTTTCATGTGTCGGGCCCTGGGAGACACTCTTTCGACACTGTTTCGACACTCTTGCGACACTCTTTCGACACTCTTTCGACACTTTTTATTGGTGCTCGAAATTATGTCTGGGACGTGGCCCTTAAGTACGATGGGAGCAACATAACCCTGGGTGAGGGGGTCGGGATTTTTTGGATAGGATTCTTCGCCATCGACCCAGACCACCTCGCGCTGCGAACAGATCACGACGGCAGGCTTCTTTCCACTCTCGGCCTCCAGGGGCCCTCGCCGAGCCTCGGGGCCGTCAAGGAGCGACTCGGGATGAAGAACCAATCCCGGGGAAGGGGTCCAGACTTTAGGGGTCGACGTTGTGAAAAGATCACGATGTCGGGGCTCTGGGTTGTTCAATCGCTTCGCTCGTGCCGCCTTCCCATATTGTAGCATCGCTGGCACTTGCTTGCGTGCTCGGGGGGGGGGCATTTGGGAGGCATCCTGGGGCCGCTTTGGGGCATCTTGGGGGCCTCTCGGGGGCCTCCTGAGGGCCTCTTTGGGGGGCTTCCTGGGGCCTCCAGGGGGGCCTCTTTGGCCGGGGCCCTGGGCCATTCGCTCTCGACCCGCTGCTCGTCGTTTGGCCTCTTGGGCACTCGTCCCGCTCGCAGCCCGCGCGGCAGCTCGGGTTTCAGCCGCGCCCCGCGGAGCGACGTCGGCGGGGCGCAGCTGCTGGGCGGGAGCAGCCCAGAAGCCGGGAGGCCGCCGAGAGCCGTCGAGCGCGCCCGAGACGCGGGCGAGCCGGAAGGAGGGGGGACGTCAGGGGGGAGGTCCGACCCGCCACTGTGCATGGTCCTTCCTGGCACCTCTCGCCGTCAGTGTTTGCGCGAGAGGGTCTTGGCCGATGGCGGCCGAGGGCTCCCTGGCGGCTCCCCCTTGGAGCGCCCAGGCGATGTGCCTGCTCCATCGGGATGAGATTGTGATCATGAAAGGAGAGGGGTCTGGGGTGCCTCCTCCTCCTCCTCCTCCTCAGCCCTCTTTATCCTCCTCCTCCGCCCTCTTTCTCCTCCTCCTCCGTCCTCCTCCGCCACTTCCTCCTCCTCCTCCTCCTCTCCTCCTCCTCCTCCTCCTCCTCCTCCTCCGCTCCTTCCTCCTCCTCCTTCTCCTCCTCCTCCCCCTCCTCCTCCTCCTCCTCCTCCACCTCCACCTCCTCCTCCTCCTCCTCCTCCTCCTCCTCCTCCTCCTCCTCCTCCTCCTCCTCCTCCTCCTCCCCCCCTCCCCCTCCTCCTCCAGATGGCTCGGGGTTTCGCTTGAGACAACTCCCTAATCTGGGCGCGAAAAGGGCAATTGCACCATTCTCTGGCAGCTCTCCCTAGGCGTGCCCAAGTGCCATGCCTGCTACATCGCGGCGGTCATGGGGGCATTTCATAAAAGGATTGGAGTCGGGAGCGCCAAACGCGCGCCTTGCTCGACATACCCCACATCTGTGCGCGAACGAGCAAGTGTAACACACCCTGTCGGCTCCACTTTGGGGTAATAAATTGATGCTTGCTACGTCGCAGTTGGCATGTGGCTGTGAACGAAGAGGAGTCGTGGGCGCCAAACGAGCGCCTCGCTCAAGACATCCCCACGACCTGGGCGCGAACACTCTGATGGCGGCTCCCTATTAGGCTGCTCGAGTGCTATGCCTGCTACCGCGGCGATCAAGTTGGCAGGAGTCGGAGGTGCAACATGATCCCCTCGCTCGAGACATCCCCGCAATGTGGACGAGAACAAGCAAGTGTAACACCCCTTAGCCGCTCTTCCTTGAGGTGGGTGCCCAACCGCTATGCTGGCGACACCGCTGTGATGATGAGGCTCTCAAAAGAGTGGAGTCGCAGGTGCAACACGAGTGCCTCGCTAGAGACATCACCACAAACTTAAGGCGAACGGGCAAGTGTAAAACCCTTGGTGGCTCCTCCTTCGGTGCGCAAGTTGTCTACCTGCTACGTCGTGGAGATCATGGGGCTTCTGAGTATGAGTGCGACTTGGTGCAAGTCGTCTGGGTATGAGTATAAGTGTGATCGAGTCTGAGTGTGAGTGAGTCGGAATGTGATTGAGCTCGAGTATGATTGCGTCTGGATGCTACTGGTCTGAGTTTGAGTGAGAGCGAGTCTGAGCGTCAGTGAGTCTGTGGCTGGATGAGTCTGAGTGCGAGCGAGTTTGAATATGAGCGAGTCTGAACATGGAAGGGGGAAGGGCAGGAGTGAGGAGTCGGAGGCGCCACACTAAGTACAATAATCCCCTCTCAGGCTACGGGGGAACGCTCACATCGCCAGATGCTTGGGAAGCCCAAGACAACAGAGGCGCGCAGGATGCCAAGCCTCCGGAGATCCATGCGCGGATGTTACCGGGGCCGGCGCTGGACCCCCCTCCCCACACGTGGCGCCCCCGGCACGTGGCGCCCCGGGCTCCGCCCCTGGCGCGCCCCGCGTCTTGGCGGAGGAAGTGCGGGGAGGGATGTCCAGCGCGCACCGATATATGAAGCCCGCACGGACTCCACGACTGGCGTGGACGCTTGGCGCGGTGAGAGGGACTCGCAACTCCTCCCCGACCATCTCCCTCCCCTCGAGGTGGAGGAGGTGGAGGAGCTCCCCATGGCCAAGATGCTGCTGGGGGACGAGGGTGGCCCCAAGGCACGGGCGGCAGGTGGCGAATACCTCCAGCTCAACCCGACCCGGCCCGACCCGCCCCGACCCGACGTTAACCAGCCTGGCCCAACCCAGCCGAGCCCAGCCTCGCCAAGCCCGGCCCAACCCGCGGGGGTCCAGGGGCGCCGCGGGCAGCAGTGGCACCTGAAGGTCCTCCGTGCTTGGTGCCTTTCGCGGGGCAATGCGATCAGCGGCGGTCCTTCTCCCACGGCTCCCGAGCTGCCTCGATTCGCGCGAGCCGCCAGGGACACATCCTTACGTGCGCGTCGGCCGACACCACGAGGTCGACGGCGCAGGGATTCGAGCACAAGCCTCCCGCGCAATGTCGTGCGTGAGCGCCCCCTTCTCCACGCGGTGTGCCACGCCGGCGGCCCGCGTGAGCCCGCAGCGCAAGGTCGCTACAGATCGCTCGCGCGTATCAAAGACCATGTGCTTCCAGACGCTCACCTCTGCGCCGATGCCGATCCTGGCCGGGCCCACCGCGGCCGCGAAAGTTGGGCTCGGATCTCGGACCCCCTCGGGCTGTGAACAAATCACGACGGGAGGTTTTTCGCTATTGTCGACCTGCGGGGGCCCTCGCCGGGCCCTGGGAGCGTCAAACCGGTCCCCTGGAGGGGTCCAGACCTCTGGGGGTCGACGTTGACGACGTCGGGGGTATGGGAGCCTTCGATGGGTCTGGCGCAGGATCAGGGCGCGCGCCACCTTTGGCCGGGCTTGGCAGCGGCGTGTGCAGCGGCCATCGGCCAAGGGCTGGCCCAGCAGCCCCGGAGCCCAGGCCCCCTCGAGTCACGACAAAAAACACGACGGGAAGCTGTTCGTCATCTTCGGCCTCTGGGGGCTCTGACGGGGCCTCGGGACCGTCAAGAAACAACTCGGGATGAAAAACCAGGTCCCGTGGAATGGGTCGAGGCCTCTGGAGGTCGACGCCATGAACATATCAAGACGTCGGGGGCCTGGGAGCGGCGCCGGCGTGCAGCTCGCACCCACTGTTTGGCGGGGGCTCGGCTGATGATGTTCCGACCTACTTCAGCCTTGACCACAAGCAAGAACATCGAGCACCTCGAATGTATATACCGAAGCTTGAGGGTTTTCTCGTGTCGGGCCCTGGGAGGCGATGCTCGTTCGACACTGCTTCGACACTTTCCCGGGCGCTCGAAATTATTTCTGGGATGCGGTCCTTCGGCGCACCCTGGGGGGGCGGCAGAGGGGGGCGGGCCTCCGCCGAAGGCTCGAAAGGCCTCGGGCCTTCTGGGAGGCAGGTGATCGTATTGGAATCGTTGTTTGTCAGATCGGCGCGGGCCCCACCGCCCCCCCTCCCCTTGGCTGTTTTGGGGGCGCTTGTTTCGAGCGGATGGAGTCTCCCTCAGAGGCAGGTCTCTTGTAACAGTCGCACTGAGCAGAGGTCTGGAGCCAGACCCGCCCCTCGCCCCTTCCTTTCCGCCCAATGTCGAAACGCCGAATCAAAACATGCTCACTAGTTCAAGCCTTCTCCGAACCCAGACCCCAGACGTTATGTTCTTGTTTCAGAACATCGGCCTTCAGAGGTCGCGACCCCTTCCCATGGACCGGGTTTTTATCCGGATGCATTTTTGACGGTCCCGAGGGCCCGAAAGGGCCTCCAGAGGCCGAAAATCTGGAAAAAGATCCCGTCGTGATTTTTGTCATTGCCCGAGGGGGTCTGGGTTCTGGGAAGTAGTTGAAGCCTTCTCCGAGGGTAGAGACGGCGTCTCAGAAGGCCGGAGGAGGGCTTCCGAGAAGCCCTGCCGGCCGCAGATGCCTCGCCCCCCTGGGCGCGCCGCCGAGGCGGTGTGCTGCGCCTTCGTTTTCGTTCGAAGCCCTGGCTTTTTCTGGGGGGGGGGGAGCGTAAGACTCGAGTAGGCCAGATCTCGGGTTTGCCAACGTTTCTTGACGAGCGCGTCCTGTATTCTGACGGCCCAGTGCTCGTGGGATGTTTGCAGCGGGAGCTCGCGTCAAATTTCAGATCGGGTCTCGTCATTTTTCTGATGGCCCCGTCAGGCCAACCCGAGTCCCCCGTACCCAAATCTTATACGTCTTCCTGATTTACTTTCCGGATGGGCTCCTCGTGACGGCGTGCCATGGATCCTGCGGTTCGCCGAGGGAGGCGCAAGTGAGAGGGGGCAGCCCTTCCTGAGCAGGCGGCGGCGGGGCTTCGGACCCAAAGACCCCCGCGCGATGTGAATCGCAGCGGGACGCTTTTCGCCACTTTCGGCCTCCAGGGGCTATCGCCGGGCCTCGGGACCGTCGTAAAACGGGTCCTGGGGAAGAGGTCGAGACCTCTGAGGGTCGACGTCTGGAAAGGATCACGATGTCGGTGGTCTGGGGAGGTGACTACCAGACAGCTCTTCAGAAGGCCGGAGGCCTTCTGGGCCCTCTGACAAGGCCCGCCTCTTCTTTTGTGTTGTTCCCATCGCACTGGACCACATCCCAGAAATAGTTTCGGGCACCCCCCAAAAAAGTACCGAAGCAGTGACGAACGAGCATCGCCTCCCAGGGCCCGACCCGTGAAACCCTTCCGTTTTCGGCACTTCATTGGTGTGCTAGCGTTTTTTTTCTGGTGGTCAAGGATGCAGCAGGTTGGAACATCATAGCCCATCTGCCTCCCCCCCGGTGGGTGCGCCACCGATGGCTGCGCCTGCCCTCCCAGCGGGGGCCCTGCGCCGCGACCGCCCCCCGCGGAGGCCAAGGACCACGCGGGCGCGACGGCCCCGTCGAGCACGGCGGCACCCGACGCCAAGGCGGCCGCCGCCGCACAGGCCCACGGGCCCCCCCCCGCGGCCCTGGGCGCTGCGGCGCGCGCCCGCGGGCCGAGCGCGGCTGCCGCTGGCCCGGCCGCCGCGCCCCTTGCGGCGGCCGCTGCCGCGCCCCCGAAGGCTTCCGTCGGGCATGCCCCTCTACAGGAGGAAGACTCAGGACTACATTCAAAAATGGTACGGGGATGATGTTTCGATTGTTTTGTTTTTTTTTTGTTCCCAGATTTGTTTACTATTTCCACTTTTCGTTCAAAATCCCCCTGTAGGAGGACATGCCCGACCTCACCGAAGGCGCTGGGCGCCTCGGCGGGCGCGCCCGGGGATTCCGCCGCCCAGGCGGCCGCCGCCAGGCAGGCCCGCGCGGCCGCCAGGGCCGCCCAGGCCGCGGAGGCGAAGGCGGCGCGGCTCGAGGCCGAGGTGGCCGCCCTGAGGAGCAAGCTCGCCAAGGACGAGCAGGCCATGTCCGCGAGGAAGGCGGCCGCCCCCGCCGCGGCGGCCGCCCCCGTGGTCGTCGTCGTGCCGGGCGCCGCGGTCGCCGCGAGCGCCCCGGTCGTCAAGGAGGCGAGCGGCACCCGGGTCGAGACGGGCGTCGGCGGCCAGGGCGGAAAGGCTCACGCCGTCGCGTCCGCTGCGAAGCTCCCGACAGAGGCCTCCCCGCCGCCACCGCCGCCGCCGCCCTCGGCAGCCCAGCGCCCGGCCGCCCCCGCGCGGCCGCGGTCCAGCGCGCCCGCCCCAACGGCGCGCAGCCAGCTGGTGCGGCAGCAGCAGGGGGCGCAGCAGAGGCAGCTACCGCAGAGGCAGAGCCGGAAGCCGAAGCGCGTGCAGGCTCAGCCCGCAGCGCTCCACGCCGGCCAGCAGGAGCCCAGCCGCGAGGGGGCGCCCGCCGCCCACGCGGGCGAGGCCGCGCGCAGGGAAGGCGAGCGACCGCCGCACGGGGCCGGGGTCGGCGCGGAAGCTCAGGCCGCCGCGTTGGCGCCGCCGACCACGCAGAGGGAGCACCGGGCCTTGAAGCACTCCGCGGTACGGCCTGGCGAGCTCACAGAGCCGAAGCGAGCGGGCGCCCTGCTGGAGCACCCTGCGGGGCGCAGGCGCCTGACGAATTCCACCGCAACGCCCGGCGCTGGCGAGAAGGCGCAGCTCGCAGGCACCGCGACGGCACACAAGGCTTCGGACCACACCGCAGAGCATCATCGTCCGAATCATTCCACGGCCCTGCCTGGCAAGGACGGCCATTCGAAGCACGCTCGGCCTGCAGCTCGCACGCTGACCACGGCAGCGCCTGGCCAAGTGCCGCCCCAGCCCCGCACGACGGAGCCGCTCTCGGCACAGCAAAAAGCCAGCGGCGATCCAGACCAGGGCCGCGAACACCACGCCGCCGCCCCTGAGCGGAGCCCTGCCGCCACGACGCCTGCGGCCTCGCGCGTGTCGAGCCCGCGCCGCGAGGCGCGCCCAGCGGAGGCCGGAGGCTCCTCCGAGCCGCGGGCCGCCCCACGCGCGACCTCGCCAGAGCCCGTCCGACCCGCCGGGGCGCCCAGGCCAGCCACGGTGCGGCCCCGCGGCCGGGAGGCGCACGAGCAGGCCCCGGCGGAGCGCCGCAGCCGGCAGAGCCGAGCGCCCGCAGCCCCGCCTCCCAGGCGCGCCGGCGGCGCGCCGCCCGCCGGCCCACTGCACGCCCGCCCGGCGGCGCGCGCCCCGGGGGCGCCGCCGCCCTTGCCGGCGCTCGCCGACGCACGGGGCCCGCGGCCGTGCGGGCACCGCGCCCGCCAGCCAGCATGGCTGCCGCGCCAGGCGCGGGCGTTCGGTGGTTCAAAGTTGGGGTCCTGAGGGGCTGGGGCCCTCAGGGCGAGGTGCCTCCAGCGACGTACATTCACCCTTTGGATCCCTTCCTGTCCTCGGGACCCGATCCCTCAGGACCCCCTCTTTGACCCACCGAGGCACGCCTGCGGCCCCCGCGGCCGCGCCGCCGGCGCACCCGCCGCCGGCGCACCCGCCGCCGGCAGCCGCCCGCCCGCCGACCGCCGCCGCTCCCCTGGCCAGCGCGCTGGAGCCCCGCGCCGCGGCCACGTCCAGGGCCGGCGGCGCTGCAGGCGCGCCGAGACGCGCCGGCGCGGCGAGGGATTCCGAGCCGCAGCGCTCCGGGGCGCGCGGCGTGTCCGGAGGTGGCCCTGGCAGCGGCGCGGGCGGAGCCGACCCAAACGCCTCGCTGGTCGCCGACGCCAGCCAGGCGAGGCGGGCGGCTGTCCAACCCGCAGGGGAGGCGATTGGAGGGCGGCGCTCTTCTGGGCTGCCCCCGGGGGCGCGACGATACGCCAGGCATCGCGCGTCGCGGTGGCCCGGGCGGGAGAGTGGCCCTTCTTCATGGCCGTCTCGCACGGATGCGAAGAGCACCCCGCTTCGCGCATCGCGGGGCGCGACGCGTGCAGGCGGGTGGCCCGAATTGTTCAGGGTGGTGGTTGCGCGGGGAAAGAGAGAGAGAGAGAGAGAGAGAGAGAGAGAGAGAGCAAGAGAGAAAGAGAAAGCAAGAGAAAGAGAGAGAGAGAGAGAGAAATAACACAGTGAATAAAGAAAGAGGAAGTCTAGAGAGAGAGGAAGATAAAGAGACAGAGAGAGAGGGAACCACCCACAAGATCGAGATTGTCATTACTGCGATGCTGGGTTCTGCATGGGAGAGTGGCCTGCCGCCGCCGAAGGTTCACCAGGTTTTCTTTCCATGAGCAGCATGCGGTTTGTGATCCATCAAAAGCGGCCTGACCGACAGGCGCTGGTGCCCATCCTGTCCGCGCTGGGCTTTGCGGGCCCGGGGCGGACGAACTCTGCCCGATCAACCGACAGTGATCGGGCCCTTGCTTCGCCTTGGGCAGCGCGACGTTTGGGCCACTCCGATTGCCAATGAGAGGATCTTGGTCTCGGCCGTCCGGCCGACGCGGCGTATTGTTGGGCCGACCTCTGCGTGTAGTCAGTCTCGCCAGCCCCCGGCGTTCGGGGCCTGGTTTCTGCCGGTCTGCTCCATCACTCAGGAGCGAAAGAAGGACGTACATGTACATGAATCCACGCTGGTTTCGAGAGCACGCATTGCACAACTGTTCGTCTAACGCGGCGGGTCTCGCGAATCGAGGGGCCGTGTTCATGTACATAGCTGGGCGCGTACGTCCTTTGTGGGCTCCCTAATCACGCCAACACATGTTCGGATGTTTCTCGATTGGGGCAAGCGGTTGATGCGAAACGGGCGCCTGCGGCCGAAGTCCGGAAGATTGCTGGGGAGGAGTCCGTCCGCTTCCGGAAAATTGGCTGGCGGGCTGTCGCACGCGATACGGGGTCGGGCGGAACGGGGTGCGAGAGGCGGCCGTTTTTTGTTTTTTTGTTTTTTTTTCATAGCGCTGCGCATAGGCGGCCATTCTCCATTTTGGACACCGCGGAGATCGCTCAAGCTTGCACCCGCTTATATCATTCTGCAGTCGGCGCATCAACCAGGAAAACGTACATAAGACTCAAGAACTCCAGAATTCGGGTTAGCCAGCGCTTTTAGAGGAGCGCGTCCTCGATTTTGACGGCCCAGCGCCTAGTTGTCGTGGGATATTTGCAGGGGGGTCTCACGTCAAATTCCAGATTGGGTCTCGTCATGTTCATGATTGGTCTGTCAGGCCATCCCGAGTCTCTCGAACCCGAGTCTGACGTCTCACCGAATCGAATCAGAAATCGGCTTGCCAGCAGCTGCCCAACAGGAATTTCTTATCCCCCGATGGCCCCATGGACCAACAGAAGATCTGGGCCACCACATGAAGCGCAAAGAACTCGCCGAAGAATGTGCTCGACGATCTCGTAGAGCAAGATGTGTTATCCTATGTTCAGGAGGGGGAACACACACAGACACAATTGAATGCCGAATTCTAAAAACATGGGAAAAGATGGGAAGTAGGGGTGACAACGAAAATCAAGAAAATATTTGAAACATGGGGATTCCTCCGATTTGTGTGTATGTCTTTGTGTGCTCCTGGGCCCCTTCATATATGTGTCTATGGTACGCCTCCTTTAAGCCTTTTCAGTTCCATGTAGATATGGGGCCACCTCCAGAAGCCCCGCGTGGCCCTGATCAGTGGGCTGGGGCGTGATCGGGCCCTTGATCCGTCGATCGCGCGGGATCGGGGTGAATGGTTCGATCCTGGATCAGCAGGGCCGCGCTATTCGGGCGAGCCAGCCCAGCTGGACCTGGCACCGCGTCAGATTCAGCCGGCATGGGCCAGAGCGCAGGGCCATGCAGAATTTTGCAAGGCCAGATTTGGGTCGAGCCGGGTTTGGGAGCCGCTCGCGGCATTGGAGGTGTCCTCACATGGTGGCTGAGCCGAGTTCGGACGCCTCCCCCCAAAGTTGCAGCGCAGCTCTTCTAAACTGGCCAAGCCGGGCTAGCCCACGCTGCGAGAGTTGTCTGAGTCTATTCCCTCCCACCGGGCACCCACCCACGCCGTGGTTCTGGATCTCCAGCCCCTGGATCTGCACCCCCCCCCCTGCGGGCCTCATCTCAAGATGGAAGGCTGGCGCCTTCAAGAAGCAGCCTCCTTCTGAGAAGCGCCCCCCCACCCCCCCCAAGCGCGCCGCCAACAGGCCGTGGGCTAGCCCAATGTGTGTGTTGCCTCGCGCAGCGTTCCGCGGCGTTCCGCGGATAGGACGCAGCGTTCCGCGGCCCTCATTCCACCGCGTGCGTCGTAGTGAAGGGCTTCGGTGGAAGCGCATACGTCGGCGCTAACACACGCGCTCTGAGGATCGTCGACCGCAGCTTCCTCCAGGTGGACTCCTCCTCCTCCTCCTGCTCCTCCTCCTCCTCCTCCTCTGCCTCCTCCTCCTCCTCATCATCATCATCATCATCTTCCTCCTCATCTTCCTCCTTTTCCTCCTCCTCCTCCTCCTCTTTCTCCTCCTCCTCCTCGTCCTCCTCTCTCCTCCTCCTCTCCTCCTCCTCCTCCTCCTCCTCCTCCTCCTCCTCCTCCTCCTCCTCCTCCTCCTCCTCTTGATGCCCCCCTCCTCCTCTTCCTCTCCTCTTCCTCCTCCTCCTCCTCCTCCTCCTCCTCCTCCTCCTCTTGATGCCCCTCCTCTCCTCCTCATCATCTCTTCCTCCTCATCTTCCTCCTCTTCCTCCTATTCCTCCTCTTTCTCCTCCTGTTTCTCCTCCTTCTCCTCCTCCTCCTCCTCTTTCTCCTCCTCCTCCTCCTCCTCGTCCTCCTCCTCCTCCTCCTCCTCCCCTCCTCCTCCTCCTCCTCCTCCTCCTCCTCTCTTGATGCCCCTCCTCCTCCTCCTCTTCCTCCTCCTCCTCCTCCTCCCCTCCTCCTCCTCTGATGCCCCCTCCTCCTCCTCCTCTCCTCCTCGTCAGGCGACCTCTAGAGGACGCCTGACGAGGAGGAGAGGAGGAGGAGAGGAGGAGGAGGAGGAGGAGGAGGGGCATCAAGAGGAGGAGGAGAGAGGAGGAGGGAGGAGGAGGAGGGGCATCAGGAGAGGAGGAGGAGGAGGAGGAGGAGGAGGAGGAGGAGAGGAGGAGAGGGGAGGAGGAGGAGAGGAGGACGAGGAGGAGGAGGAGGATGAGGAGGAGAGAAAGAGGAGGAGAGAAGAGGAGGAAGATGAGGAGGAAGATGATGATGATGATGAGGAGGAGTAGGAGGGGCTTCAAGAGGAGGAGAGGAGGAGAGGAGGAGGAGGAGGAGGAGGAGGGGCATCAAGAGGAGGAGGAGGAGGAGGAGGAGGAGGAGGAGGAGGAGGAGGAGGAGGCGGACGAGGAGGAGGAGGAGGAGGAGAATGAGGAGGGGGAGGAGGAGGAGGCGGAGGAGGTGGAGGAGGAGGAGGAGGAGGAGGAGGAGGAGGAGGAGGAGGAGGGGCAGGAGAATCGAGGAGGGATGAGGCTCGTAGTGCAAGTTGTCCTGGTCGTAGTGCAGACACAGACCTCCGACGTCGTGATTCGACCCCAGACCCCCGACGTTGTGCAGACCCAGACCCAGACCCCCGACGTCGACTCTCAGACCAGGATTTCCATCCCGAGTCGTTGCTTGACGGTCCTGGGGCCCGGCGAGGGCCCCTGCTGGCCGAACAGCAGGAAAAGAAAACCGTCGTGATTTTGGTTCATGGCTCGAGGGGGTCTGGGGAGGTCCCGATCCCTTTCCTGGGAACAGTTTTTCGTTTTCTGGGGCTGTTTCTGCCGAGCCTATTATTGCTGCTGGCCCCAGGGCGCGATGACGGGCCCCAGAGGTCGAGATCGAGGAGAAACGCCCGGGTTATAGAACAAGCAGGTCGTTGTCGAGGTCTGGGGGCGCGAAGTCTGGCCCCGAGCAGGAGACCCAGACCCCCTCGGGCAATGTAAAGATCATGACGGGAGGTTTTCCCTGATTTTCGGCCTCCGGAGACCCTTACCGAACCGCGGGGCCGCCGTCAAAAAAGGATTCAGGATGAAAAACCGTTTCCGGGGAATGGGTCGAGACCTCTGAGGTTCGACGTTATGAAAAGTCATGACGTCGGGGGCCTGCGGTGGGGAGAGAGCGGCGAGGCACCGAAGTTGTTTTACCACTCCGCGTGAGAGCTGTTCGGCTGTCTGCTGCGGGCCCTGGCATCCAGCTCGAGGGCGGTTCTGCGCCCTCGCGGCAGCACGGCAAGATCAGATCGCAAGAGTGATAACGAGCGGCGATCACATCCGCATCCGCACCCTCGCGGCCTGGACTCCGGGGCGCGATCCCGCGGACACGCGGTCGTAGGGACACGTCCCGCGCGGGGCATCCGCGGCAGCACGCCTCGTGTCCGGGAGGGGTCCCAGGGGCCCGGCCCGCGAGGCCGCGGACCCAGACGCCCGACGTCGCGATCCCCAAAGCAGTGTTTGCACTGAAGGGGTCACAGTGGACATAAAGGAGATTGGCAGAAGTGGCCGGCCGATTTGGGTGGAACCAGTGCTTGCACTGAAGGGGTCCTAGTGGACAGAAAGGAGATTGGCAGAAGTGGCCGGCCGATTTGGGTGGGCAGCTCTCGGTGGACGGCTTTCGGTGGGCGCCCCCTCGAGAGATTGGCAAAAGTAGCCCGCCGATTTCGGTGGGCGGCTCTCGGTGGGCGACTGTCGGTGGGCGCCTCCTCTCTCTCTCTTGTTCTCTCTCTTGGTATCTCTCTATATCAGTGCTGTCGGTGGGCGCTCCCTATCTCTCTTTTTGTTTTCTCTCTTTCCCTCTCTCTTGGTATGTCTCGATATCAGTCTCACTCTTGCGTGTATCCCCGACACGCAATACATTATCGAATCGTTCTGTCTGATAGGGTTTTGTGTGTAATCTTTCACAACGTCGGCCCCCATAGGTCTGGACCCCCTCCTGGGGACCGGTTTGTCGTCCCGAGTAGTTTTTGTTTGACGTTCCCAGGGGCCAGCGAGGGCCCCGGAGGCCGAAAATACTGAAAAACCTCACGTCGCGATTTCTTCACAACGCGAGGGGGCCTGTGGGCACTATAAGACGTTTTCTGCCTGCGAGGGGTCCCGGGGCGACTTCCGGCCGGCCGGGTGGGCGGCAGGGCGGGCCAGGGGGCCAGCCCGCCGCGCGCGCGCGCGCGTCTCGGCGCGTTCGCGGGGGGCGCGCCGAGGTGCCGGACGAGGCCGACGCGGTGGCCGTGCCGCGGGCGCCCGCGCGCGCCTGGTCGCCGCCCTCGGGTGCAGCGCAGGCTGGAAGCGACGCTGCGCCTCGTCGATGTCGGCACCGTCGTTGATGGGCCCACTGCTCACCACCACCATCATAGGCAGGAGGAGGATGAGGAGGAGGAGAAGGAGGAGGAGGATGCGGAGAAGGAGGAGGAGGAGGAGGAGGAGGAGAAGGGAGGAGCAGGAGCATGAGGAGCAGGAGGAGCAGGAGAACATAGCGAGGACCTCCCCATCCTCGCCGTTCTCCCCCCGTCCTACCTATGGTAGTGGTGGTGGTGGTGGAAAGTGTGCCCATCAGTCGTCCTGCTTCGTCGTCGATGTCGTCGCCGCCGTCGTCGTCGTCGTCGTCGTCGTCGATGTCCTCGTTGTCGTTGGCAATTGTTGCGCACCGGGCGTGTTCGCCCAGTTTCGGGCCCCGGGGCCATCACAGACTATTAGCTGGCAAAGTGCAGCAGAAACATGGGGTCCAGGGCTCCGATTGTGATTTTCGCGATGTTGCACATCGTCGATGTGATCGGCGCCTCGTCGTCGTCAGGAGGTTTTTGGAGGTTTGCGCCCGCTCTTGGGGGTGTTCGCTTGCTCGTCGATGTTGTTGTCGTTCTGGATGGTTTTCGCTCGCACTGTGGAGGCTTTCCAGCCTCGGGATGCCTTCCTGCAGCTGCACCTCGCCGAGGGCATTCCAGGTGTGCCCAGATCGTCTTGCTCGGCCGCCGGAAGCCAGAGCATATGACCCGAACATCAAATCTCCGAGATCCATGCGTTGCACTTTGTTCACGGCGGGCGTGTTCGCCCCGTGTTTCGGCCACCAGGGCCATCACAAATCGATCCGACTCGGAAAGCATGCCACAGACAGATGGGGCCCGTGGCTCTGGCGCGACTGTTGCGCTCCTGCATGCGTGTGTGTGTGTGTGTGTGTGTGTGTGTGTGTGAACGTTTGTGTGTGTGTGTGTGCGTGCGTGTGCATGTGCCTGTGCGTGTGTGTGGGTGTGTGCCTGTGCGTGTGTGTGTGCTTGTGTGTGTGCGTGTGTGTGTGTGTACGCGTGCGCCTGTGCGTGTGCGTGTGCGTGTCGCGTGTGTGTGTGGTTGTGTGTGATTGCGTGCGCGTGGGTTTGTGTGTGTGTGTTTGTGTCTGTGTCTGTGTCTGTGTCTGTGTGTGTGTCTGTGTCTGTGTCTGTGTGTGTGTGTCTGTGTCTGTGTGTCTGTGTCTGTGTCTGTGTGTCTGTGTCTGTGTGCGTGTGCGTGTATGTGTGCGTGTGCGTGTGCGTGCGCGTGCGCGTGCGCGTGCGCGTGCGCGTGCGCGTTCGCGTACGCGTGCGCGTGCGCGTGCGCGTGCGCGTGCGCGCGCGCGCGTGCGGGTGCGGTTGCGCGTGCGGGTGCGGGTGCGGGTGCGGGTGCGGGTAGGGGTAGGGATAGGGGTAGGGGTAATTAGGGGTAGGAGTAGGGGTAGGGGTAGGGGTAGGGTAGGGACAGGGGTAGGGGTAAGGGGTAGGGGTAGGGGTGTGTGTGTGTGTGTGCGTGCGTGCGTGCGAACGTGCTTGATTGCGTGCGCGTGGGTTTGTGTGTGTCTGTGTCTGTGTCTGTGCCTGTGCCTGTGCCTGTGCCTGTGCCTGTGCCTGTGCCTGTGTCTGTGTGTGTGCGTGCGTGCGTGCGTGCGTACATGCGTGCGTGCATGCGTTCATGCGTGCGTGCGTGCCTCCGTGCGTGCGTGCGTGCGTGGGTGCGTGGATGCGGTGTGTGTGTGTGTGTGTGTGTGTGTGCCTGTGTGTGTGTGCGTGTGCGTGTGCGTGTGCGTGCGCGTGCGCGTGTGTGTGTGTGTGTGTGTGTGTTTGTATGTTTCGCACCGTTGGATCTTATGGTCCTCCTCGCACCTCCTTCCGTCTCTCGCTCCTTCCTCCCCACACCCCCGACGCCATGATTGGAATCATTTCGTCGACTCCCAGGGGTCTCGACCCATTCCCCAGGACTAGTTCTTCATCCTGAGTCGTTTCGTTGACGGCCCGGGGGTCTGGCGAGGGTCCCCAGAGGCTGAAAATCGTGAAACAGCGCCCGTCCCGATGTTTTCCCAACCATCTTGTGGTTGGCGCAGTCCGCATTCGTCCCTGCGGAAGTCGGCACCGCCCCGTTTGGGGCAGTATTGTGCCTCCGTCTCCTCACTTCCCCTTGTTCCCGATCCTGGTTGTCCTGCTGTCCTCTCGCACTGCATCTCTCCATCCCTTTCCACATCCACTCCTTCCCTGTCTATCCACCCCTCCCTTTTCACCTCCCGCCTCCCGTTCCCCCGTTCCCCTTCCCTAGGGGTCCAGGGTGATAGCTCTTTTTGTGATTGCACGAGGAGTGGCACAAGGAGGAGTAGGGAGGGAGGAAGAGGGGCAGATGGGGGAGGAGGAGGAGGAGGAGGAGGAGGGGGGGGAGGAGGAGGGGGAGGAGGAGGAGGAGGCGGAGCAGGAGAAGTGGCAAGAGACGAGAGAGACAGGAGACGGAATGAGGGTGGGGGGAAGGCGGAGGAAGGAATGGGAGGAGGAGGTGGAGGATGTGGAGGCGTGCTTCATGATAGGCGAATGCGAGAGGTGAGATTCGATTCGATTTCGATTCGAGCGCCGTGGAGACCTGGTCAAGCAGCTTCAAATCACAGGGAACGGGACGCCCGACTTTGGCGTGAGTGCCCTCGACAGTCAGCTCAAAATCTCCGCCCCCGCCTTGGAGGGGCCATAAGGTGGGCACGCTTTGCCCTGTTGGCGTACATTCACCGTGCCGAACCTACCACATTTAGTACAACACAAGACGCCGCGTACAACCGACAACATGTGTGAGGTGTGCACATGCGCGTACACTCCATGATGCATCGGGCCATCCGGGGCCAAGGCACGAGCTCCACAGCACGGCCCTGGTCAAAAGGAAGCAAGCTGGCCACGGAGAGGGAATCTTCGGGCGCAAATCATGCATGCGAGGTGGCAGCCCCTCTTGCGGGATTCGAGCCCCGCAGCTCGGAGTCGCTGTCTGCGGGTGTCAAACGCAGACCTTGCACGGGGTCTGGGAGGGGGCCGTCCAATCTGAGCAGCCCCTCTCCTTGGGCACGATACGGCAACCTCCATATTAACGAGGATGCGGCCGAAGCCTCTGTTGGTCAAAACATCAGTTCGTTGGATGGACTGGACCATGTCATCGAGGACAGCACACTGTTGCGCAGCCCACCCAGCAAAATAGTCGGCACACCAATTTAAAACGTGCTCATCCCTAGAGATCCCGTACAACTCCTGCTTTTCAAGAGAGGTGTGATATTTGGTCCGGAGAACGGTGACCCGATCCGACGGCCGCTCATCGATCTCACCCCAAATCAAGATCCACACATCAAGCATGGTCGTCGTATTGCTGACCTGAGCTCGTGGCTTGTGCAGTGCCCGTGTAAGAGGCAAGAAGGCGAGAGGTGGGACGAGGAGGAGGAGGAGGAGGGGGAGGAGTTGGAGGAGGAGGAGGAGGAGGAGGAGGAGGAGGAGGAGGTGGAGGCGAAGGCGAGGGGTGGGAAAGGGTGGCGGTACTTCATGATTGCGGCGTCGCGGCCGTCGCAGGCGCCTCTGACGCTTGGCGGCACGGGCGCCAGCAGCCACAGCTTGGATGCACGCGCGCAGGCGAGCAGACACGGGAGCCAACTCCTGCCTCTCCCTCCTCTACATCCTTCTCTTCCTCCTCCCCCTCCTCGTGCACGTCTTTCTCTGCTTCCTTCTCCTCACTCCTCCTCCTCCTCGTCCTCCTCCTCTTCCTCCTATTCCTCCTCCTCCTCCTCCTTTCTTTTCCCTTCTGAATCATTCCTCCCTGCCGCACCCCGAGGCAGGCCGAAAGGCGGGCCGGACATCTCGCTTGGGACGCCCTCACCAGTTGTGACCTTGAAGCTTGTCTGCAACAGCTTCACAGATGGAGGGCTGGTTGTTTTCAACATGTGGTTTTCGCCTCAGCGCCGCGCACATTATTTTTCAAAGTTTGCTGCAGCTTCACGGATGGAGGGCGGGCCGTCTGCAAATGGTGGTTATCGACGTAGCGCCGCGAACATGTTTGGCCAACATTTGGAACAGTTTCACGGGTGGAGGGCGACTTCATTTCAAAATGTGGTTCTCATTGGAGCGCCGCGCACACTGGCGCGAAGGGTTTTCAAGTTCAACGATCTCATGATTAATTTACCACAAATGGTGTTTTGACACGATGTCGGACTGTCAGGGCGCAACAGTTCGTTACGTTCACTCGTGGAGCTGAAGTCCCAGAATTGGCGTTCTGGCACAATTCAGGATCGGTAAGACACAACAGCAACGGGGATTCGCTGCGTTGACGTCCCAGGAATGCTGCTCTGGCACAGTTCAGGATTTTCGAACGCTGGCCTTGCGAGGCCTGCGCGTCACACGCCGGCCTAGCGTCCCAAGCTGCAGCTGTTCTGCGGAGCTAGTCCATGGGCTTCGCGGACGACCCCAATGTTGCGTGAGGGGTGGACTTAATTGTTTTCATGTATGTTCCACCTTATGACGTCTGAACTCGGAAGCGCTAGGCCGCACACCAGACAGCTGTGACACTCGACGCCGTCTTGCTCGATGTCCGTTGTAATGTATGTATGTGTGTTGAGTGCATAGTGTCTGTTATCTAGAATGATCGTTAGATGCATGTCACGTTTGCCCCGATGGAAATTACCTTGGATGCCACTCGCTACAGTAACGCTCTCGATGGCATGTGTGTTTCTGGTTGTTGAACGTCACGTTGCCTGAACTCTGGAACCTTCGGGAGGTGTATTTCTATGTTCCCAAGGCCTTCAAGTATGTGGGCTGGTCGGCTGAGTGGCATTCGCAACTCTTTTGCATTCTTCGCACATTCGGACGAAATTGATGATCGATTTGCAGGTTCGGGCATCTTCCCATGTGGGCATGACTATTTCTCGCAATATGGCCAGTTCAATGTATTCTGTCCGATCTTACCATGCAGTTGCGAGTGGGTTGTTCGGTGGGCGCGAATGCATCGCCAGCGTCATCATAGCCGCCGCGATATGATAATCACCATCAGTTTCACCAACAGTTTCGCAAGCATCGTCGTCGTCGACGTCCGCAGCCAGTTTGGCTCAAGTGCTAGATCAGGTATTCGAGCGGTACTTGTTCAAAGGGGTAGATCGTTCCACCCATCCATGCGCCGCCTTAGACGCGCTTTGTTTGCTCATCGCTAGCGTCATCATCGGGCTGACCTTCGGGTGGTCCCGCATCTGCATCACAAAGCGAAGCGCGCGAGCGTCTGCCAGCCCGGTGAAGTGGACGCCTGCGCGCGCCGACAGTATCCGCAGGTTCGGAATAGAGATCGTCTAGCGCCACCCAGACACGAGCGATCACGTGTGCATCGCCGGTGCTTATGCCGCACATAACCTTGTGAAGGTTTGCGTCGGCGGCCCGTGCTGGGATCTGACCATGGATGGAGGCCAAGCTCCCGTGACCGAGGATGTCAGGCGAAGCGAGATGGTGGCGGTGCATTTCGAACTCGCAGACGGCGACAACATTGCAAACGTGATGAACATTGAAGGCAGCGGCGCTGTCGTTGCCAACGAGGAAAGCTCCCATGCCGAGGTAGCGACGGGCCTCTCCCAAGTCATGGGACATGTTGAAATTGATCACGCAGCGGTGGACGCGTCCACCACGCGCTACTTGGCCAAGGACACCTGCGAATGCAACACGGTCGAGTTTGCCATCGGTGAGGACGAAAGGCTTCAGCAGTGCGCCGCTCCATGTTGCGCGGACCCAGGAAACGACGGGTGCCAGTGCGCCACTGGCTGCCCCGACCAGATTCTTGAGGCATCCGTCGGCGTGGTCAAATGCACCATCACGGTTGTTTCCTAAAGCACGGACGGATCGGCTCGGATGCCACCATAATATTTCGGGACCATCTACCAGATGCCCGCTTTCAGTAATACGCAGGCCGACGCGCTGATTTCAATCATATGCAGGCCGACGCGCTGACCATCACATCGCGTTGCGGTTCCGTCGAGCGTTCCGACATGGGACGTCTGAATTTGGCAATGGTACTAGCGGTGAAGGGCGCAAAGAAATTGCGGTCGAAATGGAGAGCATGACGGTAGCAAGCGGTGGTTTGACGGGCAATTCGGTTTTCTCCATTGTCGATTTGGGCTCGCGGCCGTTCACGCCGACGGAAACGACGACAATGGGTGGCGCAGAACAGACAGCGACGGGCGACGGTGGAGCCGACGACGGTCAGACACTTTTCGCGCCGACGGTGGAGATGACGAAGAATATGTCAGCAGTTGCGTCAAGCCCACCGTCACATCTTTCGTAGTTCAAGACATAGCTGTCGACGCAAAGGTCGTGCTCCTGAGGTACAGGATCGACATATCTGGGATCACCGCCATCGAACCTAGCGGCAAGTCTGTGAACAATTACGACCCGACCCAGATTCTACCCGCTTCGCGGGTGCGCGCCTGGCATCGACGAGGATGCGTCGAGGTGGTCTCGATCATTCTTCACCACGCAATCTGCATCCGCAGTCCCAAATTTTGGCGCTGACAGCATTGGCCTGGCAGGCAGCTGCAGCTGCGCCAGACATGGATCCTTTGCGGCGGCTTGTCTACAATGCCTCCGTGAACACACATGAAGTGCGCTCGCCTTTCATGGGGCAAATTTGAGTGTTGACCAAGAAGGGTCAGCATCGAGCGCCGCGCAGCGTTCCGTGCTTCTGCGGCATCCTCCCTCTGTGACGCTTGCGTCCCCCACTCGCCGCCCGTCGCGGGCTGCTGTTCCGGCGCCTTTTAGGGGGCCAGCCGCGCATCCCTCTGAGATATTTGCTCGGGCATCGGAGGTGGCACCGCGCGGGCGCGGCCGCAAGTCACCTCCCTTTCGTCAGGGAAATAGGATCGCGCATGCGCGGGCTGGCGCGGCCGCAGAGATGCACCAGCCAGCGCCAAGCACTCATCGCAATCACTGACGCTTGGGCTTTGCAAGCCAAGTTGCGGATGGGTGGGTGGGATGTTTGCAAAAGAAAGGTTTGTGTCAACTGGTTTGCAATGACCAGTTGCGCCCATTAGAGTGCACCACTAGGGCCGTTGCACACCGTAGAGTGCACGCCGGAGCCTGAGCAGAGCCACTGGTTGGAGCCCACGCGACGGAATCATGTCCGCATATAGTTAGTCCCTACGTAGACTCTGCCCAGAAGGGTTCTTACCCTCTGTCTTAAAGGGGCCGGGCAGTGGATATCGCCCCGGGCGGCCCCCCCGGCATCCGCCCCGCGGTTCCCCCGGCATCCGCCCCGCGGTTCCCCCAGTCGCTCCCTTGCTTAGTTTAGCTTAGCTTAGCTTAGCTTCGCTTCGCTTAGCTTAGCTTAGCTTATCTCATCTGAGCTTAGCTTAGCCTAGCTTAGCCTAGCTTAGCTTAGCTTAGCTTAGCTTAGCTTATCTCATCTTAGCTTAGCTTAGTCTAGCCTAGCTTGGCTTAGCTTGGCTTAGCTTAGCTTAGCGTACCTTAGCTGTTCTTAGCTTAGCTTAGCTTAGCTGAGCTCAGCTTATCTTAGCTTAGCTTTGCTTATTCCATCTCAGCTTAGCTTAGTTTAGCTTAGCTCAGCTTAGCGTAGCTGAGCTTAGCTTAGCCTAGCCTGGCTGAACTTAGCTTAGCTTAGCTTAGCTTAGCTTAGCTTAGCTTAGCTTAGCTTAGCTTAGCTTAGCTTATCTCATCTTAGCTTAGCTTAGCCTACCTTCGCTTAGCTTAGCTTAGCTTCATTTAGCTTAGCTCATATCATCTTAGCTGAGTTTAGCTTAGCCTAGCCTCGCCTGGCATAGCTTATCTTAGCTTAGTTCTGCTTTTATTAGCATAGCTTAGCTTGGCTTGTCTCATCTTAGCTTCGCTTAGCCTAGCTTAGCTGAGCTTAGCTGTACTAGCTTAGACCAGCTTAGCTTAGCTTAGCTTAGCTTAGCTTAGCTTAGCTTTTGCTGCTGTCCTAGGGTTTCTAACTCCTGGGTAGGGTCGCACTGGGATATTTGTTATATGGGTATATTGCTTCCTACGGCCCTTCAATGTGATCTTTGCAGGCTGCCGCCTTTGCCGCCGACCCCATTTTGGAGGATCCGTCTGGCGTGATTGCTTGGTTCCCTGCAGCGTTTTGTGTGTTTAGGCGGCTTCGGGTAGGCTGCGCGGTGGCCTCAAGGATTCCGTACACACGTAATTCGCGGATTTGATTTCATTTGCCTTTCTTTCTTCCTTCTCCTCCATCGTTCCTCGCTCCTCCCCGTCTCCTTTTTGGGGGCCGCCCAATTCAGCTCAACTTGTCCTTGCCATTCTTTTCTACTTCCTCTCTCCCTGTGACGCAGGCGCTGTCGCACCGTGATAGGGAGCCTGGGGGCGTTTGGGTCGAGGCCGGGCCCGGGCGGCTTGGTGGAGCATCTGGAAATTTACAGGGCGGCTTCGGGGCCGTAGTCTTAGGAAACTGTGATTCGTATGGGCCAGTTTGGGCTTTCTTGGTGCGCGTCTTGAGGAGACCCAGAAGGGGTCGGCGGATTTGAGAGTTTGGGGCATGGTCCTTTAAGCGACTCTTCAGGAGTGAGGATTTAGTCTGAGAGGCTCAGGCAAGGGACCTGAGGGCACGCCCACTTCGTGCCTGAGGCACGGTGGCGGATATTCGTTCATGCGTTCGGTTAGTTTATGCAATCACATGTTGACGCGCGCCATGATGAACCTTCGATTTGTCTTGTACCGATGGACACATTGTATTCCCATCCTTGTTGGGGGTTGCTGCCATATGTTGTATTGGCACGGTTTCCATCCTGGCGTACTATCCGGGAAGGTATGTATTGCCATTGTTTGCGTGTTTAGCTCAATTTGGTGAGCGTGTGCTCGCAAGTTGTGTATTGCCCAGAGGCCTCAGGAGGCTGAGAATGTCAGACGTGGTGGGGGTCCCGGGGGGGGTGCCGGCGGGGATTTTGCAGTGTGGGGGGCTCTTAACATTTACAAAACAAAACTTATGCCCACAGGCCTCAGGAGGCTGAGAATGTCAGACGTGGTGGTGGGCTCGGGGGAGGGGCTGGCGAGGATTTTGCAGTGTGGGGATGGGGGGGGTAAAACTTTCGGAAAAGACTTATGCCCACAGGCCTCAGGAGGCTGGGAATGTCAGACGTGGTGGGGGTCCCGGGGGAGGTGCCGGCGAGGATTTTGCGCAGACGCCTCAAGAGGCTGAGAATGTCAGACGTGGTAGGGGTCCCAGAAAGGGTGCCTGCGAGGATTTTGCAGTGTGGGGGGCTTTTTAAACCTACGAAAAAAAACTCATGCCTTCCAAGAGGCCTCAGGAGGCTGAGTGCACACCGGAGCCTGAGCAGAGGCATTGGTTGGAGCCCACGCGACGGAATCATGTCCGCATATAGTTATTGTTCTATGTGTTTATTGTTCCCTACGGCTCTTCATTGTGATATTGATGGTGTGTGTGTTTGGGTTCGGTCGTGTTTTGTTTGGGGGCTGCATGCTTGTGGATCCTTGTGCCATGGACGCCATGGTTCGCATGTTCTTGTCAACTATGTGTTGAGATGGGAGGGGATGTTTTCAGAGATATCGAAGTATATTCGCGACATGCCAAAGTTGGCCCGCGGGGCCAAGGCACGAAAGGTGTCTGGCCGAAGGGGCCTCACGTAGCGCCTGGCTTATCTGGGCCTCCCAGATGGGGTCCGAGCAGATGGGGTCGGAGGATCCCGCCGCATCGCCGATGCGGCTCGACGTGGAGTCCGATATTCTACACGCCGACGTTGCCAGTGCATCGCAAACGTCGCCGAGGCGTTGACGATGCATCGGCGATGTGTCGGCGATGCATGTGCGATACGTCGGCGATGCGGCGGGATCCTCGGATCCCTTCTACTCGGACCCCATCTAGGATCAGCGATCCTCTTCCCGCGCTGGCCATCCCCTCGAGGAATGACGTCGTCGTCGTCGTCGTCGTCGACCTCTCGCGCGGCCGACGGCAGGACTCGTCCGAGGGCGCCTGTGGGGATCGGATGTGGCTAGAACGAGGACAAGTCCGTTCCAGACGTTCGGGAACGCTTTCAGAGCGTTCCGGAACGCTCTGAGAAGGCCGCGGCGCCCGAGACAGTCACTAGAGCCGCCGGATCTCAGAGATTTTTGATGGATCCTCACCAGATGTTAATCTCGTCTTGGCTTCGTCTTAGGGGAGGGCGGCGCCTGCTTGGCAAATCGGCACTCTCGGTCTCAGTGCCAAGCGTAGCTTCTTGGCTCGAGGCCGCAGTGAATATCCCAAGGGCTGCGCCCTCCGCCGCAGGCTGGCCCCCCTTGCTGAGCCATCCTGCAACTACATTTCGGAGGCGGGCAGGATCACCGAGCGCGTTCCACTGCTCGCCAAGTGCCTACTCGCAAGAGGTCCTAAAAACAAGCGTCTGCCTCGACGTAGTGGATCGCAGCTCCCCCTCGGCGGATCCAGGCCATTTGCGAGAAGTTACTTTGCGAGTCGTGGGTCGCGCTTGTCTATTGACAGGGAGGAGTTACTCCCCATATCATAAGTGGGCATATTGTTTTCTCTGGACACCCCGCGCAGGAACAGGGAACCACCTACATCATCATTATCATAATCATCATCATCAGCAGCATCAGCATTGTCATCATCATCATCAGTACCATCATCATCAGCATCATCATGATACAATTTACCATCAGCATCCTCACCATCATCATAGTCATCATCATTACCATCAACATCATCATCACCATCAACATCATCATCATCATATCCGTGGTCATTGCATGCATCCTCATCTGCAATCCCAATACATCATCACCAGCATCATTGTCATCATCATCATCCTCATCATCATTGCAATCAGCATCATCATCGTCAGCATCGCGATTAACCACCATCTTCACCACTCCCGTCATCCCACCATGACTATCTACCATCACCATTTTCGTCACCCACTCACTCTCTCATTTATTCAAATTCACGCATGACTCACACACTCAGCAACACGTCAGGACCCCATCATGATCTTCGGCCATCAGTACCATCGTCGTCACCACCATCGCACACCACCATCGTCATCACGATCACCATCCCACCATGATCATCGACCAAGCGGGCGCCTCGTCTGTGAGTGAATGTCGATGAGCTCTCAAGCGAGAGCCCCCTCCCTATGGGGCACGCGCTTCATGGTCGAATTATCGGAAACTACTAAGTGTCGTTAATTTCTTGCCTTTCGGGCCTGAATCAAACGGAAGGCTCGAGCGAGAGCTTTGTCTGTGAATGAGTAAGTGGAAATCTCAGGCCGGAGCCCCTCCCGATGGGGCCCCCATTTCCATGTTCGAATCCGAGCGGATCATCCAGAAATTTGTTGTTGCCGACCTTTTTGGGATCCTGATGCCTGGATATGGAGGAAGCGGGAGCCTCGTCTGTGAGTGAATTGCGAGGAAGTCTCATGCGGTTGCACCCTCCCAGATGGGCGATGCGGCCCGCAGCTCATGTTAGCAATCTGGGCAGGTCATCCGACAAAAAAGTAACAACCGTCACGTTTGGGCCCTTGAGCCCTGAATATGGAGGATGTCTCGAGCGTGAGCTCCTCCTGTGAGTGAATTGCAAGGAAGTCTCAGGCGGGAGCCCCTTCCGATGGAGCCCGCAACTCATGTTAGAAATCTGAGCAGCTCATCCAAACATTTCTGAATTGACGTCGTTTTCTGGCTCCTCAGGACTGAATATGGAGGAAGTCTCAAGCGGCGGTCTCGTATGTGAGTGAATTGCGAGAAAGTCTCAGGCGAATGACCCCTCCCGATGGGGCCCGCAGCTCATGTGAGTAATCTGAGCAGGTCATCGACAAAGTTTTTAAACAAGCGTCACATTTGGGCTCTTGAGGCCTGAATATGGAGAAGGTCTCGAGCGGGAGCCTCGTCTGTGAGTGGATCGCGTGGAAGTTTCATACAGGAGCCCCCTACTTATGGGGCCTGCAGCTCATGTTAGTATTCCGGGTGGATCACCCAAGAATTTGAAACAGTCGTCACTTTTAGGTTGCTCAGGCTTGGATATGGAGGAAGTCTAGAGCGGGTGCCTCGTCAATGAGCGAATTCCAGGACATCTCCGGCGGGAGCTCCCTCGATAGGGGGCCCCAGCTTATGTCAGCAATCGGAGCGGCTCATTCAGAATTTTGTAACAGTCGTCACTTTTGGACTCCTCAGGCTCGAATCCGGGAAAGTAAGAGTCGGGAGGCTCGTCTGTGAGTGAATTGCCGGGACTCTCAGGCGGGAGCCCCACCCAAGGGGGCCCGCAGCTCATGTTAGTAATCCGAGCGGGTCATCACATTCCCGTAAGGGTCGTCACTTTGAGTTCCTGAGGGGTAAAGCTGGAGGAAGCGTCGAGCGGGAGCCTCTTCCGGGAGTGGATCGCGGGGGCGTCTCCAGCTCGCGCTCGGAAAAGGTCGCCCATTGATCGGGAGCTCGACTCTCGGCTGGCGTGTAACTGGCCCTCACGGGTCGCCCCCTCCCTGTGGGGCTCGCACTTCATGTTGGCAACCCGAGTGTTGTATGCCGAGCTGGTCGTCGGCAAGGCTGTCCCAACGGCTGGCTCGCGCGCCCAAGCGGCTCACGGGGTTGTCCAAAGGCCTCTCCCGAGGGGCTGCCCCTACGGCTTCGCGATCCGGCCATCGGAGAACGCATGCATGCCGCCCGTGGCCGCACCGGCGTCGAGGAAAACCGCATTGCCCTAACCACGAGCGTGGGGAAAACAAACAGGAGGATGATAAGAGAGGGAGAATGAGTAGGGTGCCGAGGAGGAGGAGGAGGAGGAGGAGGAAGAAGAGGAGGAGGAGGAGGAGGAGGAGGGGAGGACGAGAAGGAGGAGGAGACGCAGGGCGAAGATGTCGGGGAGGAGGAGGCGCAACATAAATGCGTTAATCCTGAGACGAAACCGCGTAAATCCTGAGGGCCTGGCGTTCCGACTTTTTCGCACCCGGCGTTTTTGCCTGGTGTCGGGCCTCGGAACCCCGACAGATCGATCGGCCTCGGGAAGTTCGGGGGCGGCCAAGAGGGGTGATGACCAGGGGGGTTGGATATCATGGCGGGGACCATGATATTTCCCCAGACTTCCTGGTGCCTCTCCTTATCTCAATACGACCCCGGACCCCCTATGGGCCGCGCGCGTGCCGCCGTCCATGATCTGCGCCACTCCCTCTTGGACGCCCCCCTCTTGGGCGCTCCCGAATGTTGGGACAGTTTTGAGGCGCCCTGGGGCCACCTTGGGGTGTCTTGGGGGCATTTTGGGGCCCCTCGGGCCACACTTGTGACATATTGAGCAAGGTTGGTGCTACATGGAGCGTTCCAAAAAAAAGGCTCGCCTTAGAGGGCGGAAGGAGTTGCCAACTCTTCTTTTGCGGAAGGAGGCGGAAGGCTGGCGGAAGGCTGGCGGAAGTACATCGAGGCCGCCTCCGCCAGCGGAAGGCGGCGGAAGGGCAGCGGCGGAAGTATCAAAAGCGCCCCCTACAGATGGCAAAGTGTTTGGTTTCACGGCTTCCAGAATCCGCCATATTGGGGAAGATTCGGGCAATTGTGCAAGCCTGTTGCTCATTTGTGGGAAAGTTGGGGCCTTGTCAGGCCATCCCAGGCGACATTGGCGGTATAGCCTTCGAGATGTCAGAGCTGTTATCTGCTGTTTGCTCTCCTGGGGGTGTCTTTGGGCCCTCCTAGGCCCATGTCACATCGGCCGTCCAAGGCTCTGGAAGTCCTCGCCGTGGCCTCCTGGGGCCGTCCGCTGTCTTGCGGCGTCCGTGCAGGAATCCTGGCGCAACCCGGCGCGGTCGGGAGGCTGCTTGTCGCGCGGCCCCCCCCCCTCTAGTAGCCAGCTCAACGGAGGCAGGACCGGAGAGGCAAGGGATCGATGCACAAAGAACAACACGCAAACACGGGTCACCAGCGCAGACAGGGCCCAGCGGCACGACACGACAGACGAGCGACGGACGACAGACGGGGCGGCGCGGGGGAGGGGAGCGCGGGAGAGGGGGGGGGGAGGGAGGGCCCGCGGGAGGCGCCCGCGCCCAGCGCTGCCCCCACGGGGGGGAACGGGCGAGAACGCTTCGGCGGTAGGATGGCTTACCCGCTCCCTGGTTCCCCAAGCGCTGCTTGCGCTCGGGCGTTCTGACTTGCCCTCTGAGGGGCTTTGCCCGTCCGCGGGGCCTGGCGGCCCCGTTCCCGTGCGTGCTTCTCTGCAGGAGGCCCGTCTGCGGGCCCGGCGGCCCCGCGCCTGTCGTCGCCGCAGCACGCAGTTCACACCACAGAGCGCGCACCACACAGCCCACACCACAGCAGATAGCCTGCTCCACATGCCTTGCACCACGTAGCGTGCACCACATAGCTTACACCACAATGCTGGCACCACATACTTTACTTCCCACAGTTCGCAACACATAAATTACACAACATAGCTTGCGCCGCATAGCTCGCGCCATATAGATCTGACCACATAGCTTGCACCACATAGCCTACACATCCACAGTTACATACATTTCTGTGTAAAATAAGCAATGCACAAATAGACAGTAGTCCAGCAAGATCACCACAGCCTTGCACCCCCAAGGGGGGCGCCAGCTTCCAGGCTGCAGCCAAGCTGTTGCTTGCATGGAACCCCGTAGCGGTGGCGGTTCGTCAGCGTTGTCTTTAATTTCTTCATACGTTCGGATCAAGCCTCTCGAGTCTGACAAGGAGAAACAAGAAGGCGGCGATGCGTCTTCGAAGCGCATCACAGGATGGGATGAATCATCAGGGACTATCGATTTGTCGGGACAGGTCTTCGATCACGCAGCAGCAGTGTTGCCACCGGATGCCAAGCAGGAACATGTTTATGAGGTGGTTGCACAGCCGTTGGTGCGAAAATGGCTTGACGGCTACGACGTTGATATCCTTTCCTATGGACAGACAGGAGCTGGAAAGACATTCACCATGTTCGGTCCCCCGTCCTCTATGGCCTCAGCGGTTGTGGCACTGAAAGGCGGTACCAGTACTGCAGCAGATGGCATTCTGTTGGACGAACATGGATTCATCCTTCGCTCAGGCTTTGAAGCCCTTGCCGCAGTGGAATCCAGCGGTGGCCGTGCAGTTCTGCATGGAAGCATGGTGGAGATGTCAATCACGTCATTAACAAATCAATCGGTGAACGACCTGCTAAACCATTCTGAGACATGTTTTGTTGACAAAGATCACCACCTGCAGGGAGCGCTGCACGTACCAATACGAACAGCAGAGGAATTGGTAAAGATGGCCGCTGCTGTTGAGACGCGTCTTACACGGGGTACGAAGATGAACGATACAAGCTCACGCTCGCACTGCGTCACCGTATTTACCCTGAGTGTGTTGGATGATGGTGGTTTGGTGCGGGAAAGCCGCTTGCAGTTTTTTGACATGATGGGAAGCGAGCGGTTCAAGGGTGGCAATGCGGCACACGAGACCGGCAAGAGTTCGAAGTCTACCGAGGGTGGTTGGGAGGGCATATATGCCAACCTGAGTCTCAGTTCTTTGATGGCCGCCGTGGACGTGTCTGCACAGGCGCGCCGCAAGAAGAAGACAGACAAAACAGCCAACCCAGTCTTGAATTTTTGTCTCACTGAACTGCTCCAAGGCAGCCTTACAGGAAGCGCGATAACTGGCATGATCACGTGCGTCAGCCAGGCGCCGAGAAATGGAGACGAAACCTACTTGTCGCTCAAGTACGGCGCTGGAATGGCCAAGCTGACGAATGACCCAAAGCGGCAACCCGCAGTACCCCTAGATAAGCTGTTAGACATTGCCAGGCGAGAGCATGGAAAGAGCGCGGCCATTGTCGCCAAAGGCGTGACCGGTAAGTATCAGGCGTTGCGAGAGGCTCAGGTGAGGCAGTGGGAGCAGGCTGGCAACATGCTTGAACGGTTGGCGGCAGGCGCGGCTGGACGCTGCGCAGAGGATGCGTGCCTGAAACATGTGACGGATTGGCGTGCTCTTGCGCCCAAGGGGCCCCAGGGGGTACTAGAAGAGTCCGTGGTGCGCAGGCGCGTTTCCCCTGCTACCCCACCGTGTTTGCCCCCCTCGCCTCTCCCCTCTCCCCTCCTTTGAGCACACGTTGGCCGTCATGCCACCGTTGCACCACCACCACCACCCCTCCCCACTCCTCCTCCCCCCGTCCAGGGATACCCCTCCCCCTCCCCTCCCCCTCCTCCTCCTCCCCTTCCCTTTCCTCCTCCTCCTCCTCCTTCTCCTCCATCTCCTCCTCCTCCCTACTCCTCCTTCTCCTGCTCCTCCTCCTCCTCCTCCTCCTCCTCCTCCTCCTCCTCCTCCTCCTCCTCCTCCCCGGATCGCCTACGGGCCCGAGGGGAAAGCAGTGCAGCCGAAGCATGGGAGCGCTCTCCCTGTCGAGCGTCAGAGGCGGGGGGATCCCCTCCCGATGGGGAAGACGCGGGGTCAAGAGCGTGCTGCTCGCTCCCCCCGGCTCGTCCGGGGCTCCTGCTCCGCTCTCGCTGCTCGCTCCTCTGCCTCCACCATGGCGTGCACTGCTCCCCCAGACGAGTTCTCCTGCCAGGTCATCCCCTCTCCTCGCTGATGATCCCCACTCCTCTCTTCTCGTCCTCCTTGGACCCGTCCTTCCCCCGTGTCCTCCACTTCCCCCACCGCGTCCATCCCGTCGCCTTCTGTCGCGCAGGCCGATGACACGGACGAGTCGGAGGTTTTCGGGTTGCTCCCACTGCCGGCGAGCTTTGAAGAGGAGCCGGGCCTTTGGATGTTTCTCCCCCCCACATTCAGGAGAGGTGGTGAGAGGAGCAGGATGGGCACGAGGAGGAGGAGGAGGAGGAGGAGGAGGAGGGAAGCGGGGCGATGTGCACGCATGACTGTGGTTCACCATGTCCCCAGTTCGCCAAGACGAGTAATTAGGGAGTAGGGCGGAGGAGAAGGAGGAGGAGGAGGAGGAGGAACGTGGAGGAGGAACGTGGAGGAGGAAGAGGGCGGAGGGCCGGAGGAAGGAGGGACGCAGGGCAGGAGGGAGACCTAGAGGAAACAGGGAACTGGGAGGAAACTAGAGGAGGAAGTGAAGGGGAGGGGGAGGAGGCGGAGGAGGAGGAGGAGGAGCAGGAGGAGGAGGAGGAGGAGGAGGGAGGAGGACGGAGGATGGAGAGAAGAGGAGGAGAGAGGAGGGGGCAGGGAGAGGACAGAGTGGGGGGGGGAGGGGAGGAGGAGGGGACAGAGAGGGGGGGGAGGGGGGGGGAGGGAACGAGTCCCTCGCCTTCCCTCCTCCGGTCTTCGCTCTTCCCTCCCCGATCGCACCAGGGCGCTCGCTGCCTGCAGCGGGCGCGAAACGTGGGACATCGGCGGGCGGCGGCGGCGGCGGGCGTCCCTGTGACGGACTGCGATCGTGGGTCGGGGGCCGACGGCCTTGGCTGAGCAAGGAAGAACAACACGAAACACACAAAGCAATAAAAAGCACTCCTCCTCCACGCCCTCCTCGTCCCCTCCCCCTCGCCACCACACAGAGCGCTGGTCGATTGCCGTGGAGCTTTCCCGCGGCCCCGGCGTCGCCATGCGCTGGCTTGCCCAGGCTGCCCTGTCCGAGAAGGCTCCGGGCGTTTGGCTCCGCCTGCTGGCCGCGCACCCAGCGTCCTGATCCTTGCTACCTCTCCCGTCCCATTTGCCTCAGGTCTAATCCCGTCCTCCTCGCCCCCCCCCGCCATGCCCCCCTACCCCCTCCCATTCCCTCTGCTTCAAGTTTCATCCCGTCTCCCTCGCCCCTCCCACCATCCCCCCTCCTTCTTCTCCTCCTCCTCCTCCTCCTCCTCCTCCTCCTCCTCCTCCTCCTCCTCCTCCTCCTCCTCCTCCTCCAGGCTCCATCTGCGTCGGGCTCTTACAGCCAGCATGTGTTCCTGTCTCTGCTGAACTGGGGGAGGCGGGCTAGACTTGTAATCCATGCAGAGAGACAACCATATGGCATGTCTCTCGACCTCGAATGCAGTCCGCCACAAAGAAAAGGGCACCGAAGATGGTAGCAACGCTCTGATTGCGCATGGAGAGCGTCGTCATATAACTTGACATCAGTTTGCCTTCTTAGGGGAGGCTGGCGATGGCACCAGTCCATGCGGTGCGCAGGCGTGCCGTTATGCCGCTTCGGGCAGCCAGACATTGCAACACATCCCATTGTGGCCAACCGTTGAAAGCAAGTATTGTAGTGACCTCCGGCCAGTGCCGCCGATCCGGGGCGCTCCGGATGTTGATGTTGATGATGATGATGATGATGATGATGATGATGATGATGATGATGATGATGATGCTGATGCTGATGCTGCTGATGATGATGATGATGCTGATGCTGATGCTGATGCTGATGCTGATGCTGATGATGATGCTGATGATGCTGATGTTGATGTGGCTGATGCTGATGCTGCTGCTGCTGATGATGATGATGATGATGATGATGGTGGTGGTTGCGTGATGGTGGTGATGATGATGATGATGACGATGCTGATTATGATGATGATGATGATGATGATGATGATGATGATGATGATGATGATGATGATGATGATGATGATGATGATGATGGTGGTGGTGGTGATGATGATGATGATGATGATGATGATGATGATGATGATGATGATGATGATGATGATGATGATGATGATGATGATGATGGTGATGGTGATGGAGATGGTGATGATCTGGCCCCCCCTCCTCCTCTCTCCTGTCCCCCCCCTCTCTCCTGTACCCCCGCCCCCCCCCTCTCTCCTGTCCCCCCCCTCTCCTCCTGTTATCCCCCTCCCCCCTCTCTCCAGTCCCCCCCCCCTCTCCCCCCCCCTCTCTCTGTCCCTCCCCCCTCTCTCCTGTCCCTCCCCCTCTCTCTCCTTGCCCCCCCCTCCTGTTCTCCCCCCTCCTCCGCTGGCAGAGCGCCCATCTGTAAAGCGGACCCTCCCTCCTTTCCCGGCAGCTCCCCTCCCCGCCTGAGAGGGCCAGCCCCCGCCTTTGCAGCCCCCCCCCCCCCTTGCAGAGCGCCCCCCCCCCCTCCCCGCCCCCACTCTCCTGCCCTCACCCTTGCAGAGCAAAACTCCCGGGGGGGAGGTGCAGAAATCGAGGAGGGGGGGAGGGGCTGGCAGGGGGGGGGAGGTGCCGAGCACTGAATTCGACAGTTCATGAGGCCCCCCCTCCTCCCCCCTCCCAAGCAGAGCTAAAGCTCATGCTGAAGCAGAGCTTCAGCTTAGACTTCTGAAACTTACACGCCGGATCGGCGGATTTGTATAACGGCAGCCTGTCGCTGACTTCCCAGGGGGGAGCAGGTTTCGCTTGGAGGGCCTGTGGGCTGGACCCCCCTTCCCTTGCCTGCCCCAGGAGTGCGAAACAGTATACTCACACACGCCACCAGTTCGCCGCTGCTCTGCTTTAAAGAGTGCGATTGCCAGCCTGCCCCAGGCGGCCGGCCGCCATTCTGCCGCTGGGGCTGCCCCGCACTTGCCCCTGCCATCTCGCCCTCCCCTATGCGTCCTCCACCTGAACGCGCCGTGCGTTGCGTACAGGCCTCTGGAGGTGACCATGTCTCGTGGCCCACTTTGCCGGGCCCCTCCCATCGTTAGTATAGCGTCAGAGAGCATGCAGGCGTTTGCGGGCGTCCGCCCATCGTCACCTTGTGCGACCAGAGTGGATTCGAGAGCGTGGCAGCAATTCACCAGCCTGAGCCCGATAAGCCATTCCGGGGCGGCGTGTGCTGGACGTTGGACAGGGGAGCGAGGGTCAACGGGTAGGTCTGGGGTAAGGTCCTACGTGCGATGATGGGCAGGGTCAGGTGAAAGGGTGCGCCTCGAAGGCGTTTTGGAAGAGGCGCAAAGACGAAGCTCGGTCCATGTCTGGGCGCCCCTCCGACCCGAGCCCGCGCAAGGGGAGCCTATAGGGGGTGGAGTTCTGGGACGGCAGCGGCCTCGGGTTTCGAGTCCAGGGCCCTTTCTGGGCCGCTCCGCGCCGCGTGCTCTACTTCGAGCCGGCGCCGGGGCCGAGAAGCTGCCGGGCGCAGGGGAGGGGCGGGGAAGAGGCTATGCAGGAGGAGGCGGCGGAAGGGGGCGCCGATGCCTCCAGCCTGGCGGCCCGGGCCCGCGAGGACGACCGCGCCGCCACCTCGCCGCCACCGCCGGCCAGCGGCCCGGCGGCAGTGCCATCCACCACCGCTGCGCCGCAGGCGGCGGGGCCGCGCGAAAGAGGTAGGGGAACAAGAAGTGGCATAAACACAAAAACTCAGAGGTCCGCGCGGATTTCTCGGATCGGCGCTGGACCCCCTCCCTGGCGCGCGGAGCGCGCCAGGGGCGGCGCCGGAGTCGCCGCCGGGGGGCCCCAGCACCGATCCGAGAAATCCGCGCGGACCTCCGAGTTTTCTGTTGATGTCACTTTTTGTTCACGGTTCGGCCCGATCGCGCGCATGCGGTCTCGTCGGCGGCTCGAGCGGCTCGGCTGGCCTCACCTCTCTGGGCCGTGTGGGGAGCTTTCCCCTCGGCATCGCCCGGGCGTGTGCGTTTCCTTTTCTCGGCGAGGACCATCGAGGAGCATCTTGGATCATCTTGCGAGACAAGAGACGCAAGAGACCGAAACATGCACGGGGAACGGACGTCCGAGCGATGACAACGTCCTGAGGGAGGACGGCAGGCGGGGAGCCCACGGCGGGGCCGCCGGAAAGGAGGATGCTGCGGTTCGATGCGGTGCCGTGTGGACGTTCTCGTCGGCGGCCAGATCGGCGCTGCGGGCCCCACCTCACGTCCCAGACGTGATCGAGTCGTGACAAAATCATGACGGGAGGTTTTTGGCTAATTTCGGCCTCGGGGGGCCCTCGCGGGGCCTCGACACCGTCCAAAAAACGATTCAGGACGAAAAAGCGGTCCTGGGGAAAGGGTCGGGATTTCCAGGGACCCCGTTTGGAAAAAATCAGGACGTCGCATGTTTGGGGTGGGAGGCGTTCCTGAAGGAGGGGTCGGTGGCCCGGGTCGATGGGCCCGGCGAAGCCTTATGCGGGAGAGGGTTAGGTTGGCGCCGGCTGGGGGCTGAGGGTGGGCATCACTGGCTCCAGCCATGAGAGGGGGGGGAGAGAGACACCACCGCACACGGGTTGTGTTTCCTGCCCCCTTCCCGGCCGCCTCTTGCACATGGGTGGCGGATGCTGGGTTTGCCCCCTTATCCCCTCATGACTGGCGTCTCCGATGCCCATCCAGAGCAGACCCCCCCAGCCGCCTCCAAGATGGAGCCCTTCTGGAGGGGAAGCGGAGCCAGCCGAGAGCCAGGTGAGCGACGCAAAAAACAGGGTCGTTTGCGCCGACATTGGCGCGTAAGCTGCTCGCGTAAGATCGCGCGTAAGCTCCTTCGTCTCCACTGCAGCGTGCCGGGCCAGCGGCCCGCGTAAGCCACCGCGTAAGGTCACAACGTCATCTCGCGCAAGCCCAGTTTTTAATTTATCGCTCAAGTGGTGGCTGGCTCTCGCGGTTGCAGCAGGCTGAAGGGGGGCGGGCAGAAAGTGGCCCAGCCATGGGGCTGGTCGAGAGGTGGAGCGCGATGGAGACGTGAGCGTATCACCCCGCCTCCTCATTCCTCCCTCCTCCTCCTCGTGCCTCCTCCTCCTCTTGACAGGTACGTGAGAATTTCTCAATCTGATTACAAGCCTCCTCTCTCATCTGAAGATGGCCAGGGAGTTGAACGCCCCCCTCTGCTTATAACTTCTTCTCACACAGGACGTCAAGAGTTGATCTGTCCTATTGTCTTGCAGTCGTAACTCTTTCGGTGTCTCAAAAACGATGCTGCCGCTGCAGCTTGCGCCTCATTTTGGAATCGGGACTTTGCTCCCATCGTTCACAATGGCTCGTGGCAGGATGGGGACATTGCTCCCATCGTTCAGAGTGGCGTGATCGCCCGTCTTCCACTCCAGTTCCTTCTGCTGCTGTTCCTCGTCCTCCTCCCCCCTCATTATCCTCCCATTCCTCCTGATCATCCTTCGAGTCATCCGCCACCTCCTCTCCAATGTACGCAGCTTCCTCCTTTTCCGATGGCTAATGGCACGGTGTGGTCCGTTTAGGAGCTCCAGGTTCGAATTTGTACGCGTCGGCGGATAGAGACAACATTTGCACAAGTGTAAGGGACGGGTGGGAGGGGTAGATTGTCAGATGTGGCGCGAGCGCACCTGGCTTGATATGAATCAGATGCTCTTGTTTCTCCTGGAGATGGCCAGGGACTGGAACGACCCCCTCCGCGTATTGCTGTCGTTTCACACAGGACGTCAAGAGTTGGCATGTCTGATGTTCTTGCAATCGCAACGCTTTCGGTGTCTCAAGACTGTACTGCCGCTGCAGCTTGGGCCTCCTCTTTAGGATCGGGACTTTGCATCCATCGTTCATCGAAAGCTGGGCGAGGGCTGCTAAAACCGTGGCTGCTAAAACCGCCCTCTTTGAAGGAGAAAAGAACTTCCCGGAATGAGGCGCGGCACGCGAAACAGTCAACGGGCTTCTTCCCGGAAGGACGAAGACAATCTCCCGGATGTCGATTTTAGCAGCCACGGATTTGGCAGCCCTTGCCCGGCTTCCGAGTTCAGAGCGGCGCTATCGCCCCAGCGCAGGCCACTGTTCTGGATCCGAGTGTTTCCTCGTCGTTGTCGTCCTGCGCCTTCCCCCTCCCCCGCCTTACCCTGGGCAGATTGCTCCTCCCGCTTCTCCCACTCCAGCTCCTGCGTGTGCTTTCCCTCCTCGTCCGCATACCTCCCCATCAGAGTGACATCGATAGTCTGCTCGATAGTGAGGCGTTGGTTCCCCCCTCCCGAACCCCATTACCACCCGAAGGGTGGCCGCATCGGTATATCCAATTACGTCATGGCAATGACCATGAAGGCACAGAACAACTGAATGGTGTTATGCATCTGGGGCGCTCCAAACAGGGCCTTGCCTTCGAGGTCTGAAGGAGTTGTCATCTCTTCCGCCACGGAAGGCGGCGACAGGGCGGCGGAAGGTCAGCCGCCTCCGCCGGCGGAAGGCCGGCGGAAGGCGGCGGAAGTGAAAGATGCGCCCCCCGAGAGATGAGAACGTTTTTGGGCTCAGGGTTCCCGAAATCCGCCATCTGGCTTCCCGCATGGCATGCCCCGAGGTCCGACATCTCGAAAACATTGCAACATCGTGAAACAATCATGACGAGAGCCCCAGATTCCATTTTTCCGCGTCACTATTCGAGCCGCATGGATCTGTGAGGGTCCCGGGGCCCGGAATCCAGCGAGAACGCCAGGCTCGAAGAAGTCCAGGGCTGAGCAGGACGTGCCGTCGGTGCCTCTCGGCGCGGTGGTGCCCCCCCCCCTCCCGCCTGGTCGAGCACGGTCCAGCCCCCTAAATCAGGGTCCTTGGAGCTGGGGGCAGCATGGGACGGAGAGCTTTTTTTTTGGGGGGGGATGGTGGTGATGGGCTTGTTGTCCACCACCACCATAAGTTGGGGGGAGGTGGAGGACGAGGAGGAGGAGGAGGACGAAGAGGAGGAGGAGGAGGAGGAGGAGGAGGAGGAGGAGGACCCCCCTCCAACTGATGGTGGTGGTGGTGGAAAACACGCCCATCAGGTGGGGTGCCCAGAACCCAGACCCCCTCGCGCAGCGGAAAAACACGACGGGAGGGTTTGCGCTATTCTCGGCCTCCGGGGGCCTTCGCCGGGCCCTGGGAGCGTTGCAGAGCGACTCAGGACGACAAACCCGTCCCCGGGAGGGGGTCCAGGTCTCCGGGGGTCGACGCTGCGAAAAAAAACACGACGTCCGGGGTCTGGGAATTTGGGACACGAAGGCGCCCCTTCACATTCACGCGGATAGTTCCTGCGCCATCCACTGCGGTTTCTGTGGGGCCCCAGACGTTTCTATCGCAGCCGTCCTGGACACGGTGTTCGACCGAGTTTTCCCGAAGAGATCTGGTCAGGACATCTTGGGGACGTCATGTTTAGGCGGATCTTAGGTAAGGTATGTTCGTGTCGTGCCGACGCGGCAGCGACCCAGCGTGCGCGTTCAAGGTTGTACGCGGCCAGTGGCCGTGGCCCGATCGAAGCGCCGCCGATCGTTCCAGATTGAACGAAATACGCGGTGTCAAGGATCGACGCCGGGGACGTCACGACACAAGCCTGCCGTGAGTATCGGATAACACTGGAGCCGTCTTGGGGTCCTCGTTGGTCTGTGTTTTGAGCCTCCTAAAGTTCCCTGACGCGTCCCCGAGGCGATGTGCACTCGAAACGACGCGGAGGAAAACGACACTGGCATTCAAGATGTGCTTCAGTTGCTGCAGACAGCATGTGGAATCCCGTCGGAACATCTTAAGGATACCTGAGATCGTCTGGCCAATCGTTAGGCCGTGCGGGATTATGCCGTCTTGGAGTCGTCGTGAGGCCGAAGCGCCAGGACTCGAGAAACTAGGTGGGCGATGCTTTAATACCTGTGCGTCGAAGGGAGGCGACCTTCTTGAACATCTGCAAGCAGCACCAGACAACTCACGAGTATCCTGTCCTTGTGAAAGCCTCACGACAGGTGCGCGACGGACAGCAAGAGACATTGAAAGTGGAATGTCGAGCAGGAGGTGGAGGATGGAAGTGGGAGGAGGGGGGAAGGGGAGAGAGGGGAGGGGGAGGGGCGAAGCGGGGAAGGGGAGGGGCAGGAGGGGGAGGGGGGCAGGAGGGGGAGGGGGAAGGGGAGGGGCGAAGCGGGGAAGGGGTAGGGGGGAGGAGAAGGAGGGGGAGGGGCGAAGCGGGGAAGGGGAGAGAGGGTGAGAGGGGCAGGCCTCTGAGCCATCGTGGGGCACTCCTGGGTTCAGCTTGCAGGCGGAAGGCAGGCGAACTTGAAAAACAACTGAAAAACGCAACCCCAGTTAACTCTCACGAATTCTGCATTCACTTTACCGTGTAGGGGCGTCGGAGGCACCGTGTTCTGAATAAAGCTCGTCGTCATCAGCGTCTCTTGGGTAGGCAAGCTTCGCTTTGATAACTTTTGGTGACTGCCTAGTTCTCCTTACTAGCTTGCATCTGCGATCCCATGCGCATTCCTAGATAATTAATTGGTGTGTGTGGCGTGGTCGCGACCATGGCCCATGGGGCATGAGTACGTGTTTTTGTGTGGTGCATTGTGCGCCTGGGCACCTCTCAGAGTGCTGCCCCACCTCAGCCCTGTCCGCGTTCGCATGGCTTGCCTAAACTTAC